AGCATCCGCACGCCTTTACACCGCGTGATTAGCTGGATGATAGATAAATAAGGATCATGAAGGCAATGATGAATTCATACAATGTTATTTGAATCGTGTGCGTTTCGCAGTCGACGTATGAAAACTCCAAGAATGAACTCAGACTAAAGGAATAGTGGTACTAATTATCCAGCAAACTATTCCATTCATGTTTCTACGAAACAAACATCTGTACTTCTGTCCATATAAAATGACTATATAAAATTAGAACTTATCATTAAATGCCACTTTTATATGCATTGATTTACAACTTTTATGCAAATACGATCCTACTGGACGACTTGCGGTAGCATTTTGATGTGCAAGAGTATAAACCAAGGCCGTCGGGGACGCGTACTTGTCGATATCTCCCGTACGATCGGTTGCACATAAAAACCGCTGGCAAATTTGGGTACAGGGTGCAGGCGTTCTACGAGTATTCGCCTTACAGCTAAATAAAACGGGTGGTCGAATTGCTATCATCGCCGTCGTATCACCCAGGTCTGCAATCTAAAATTTACCATTTTATCAATGAGTCGAGTCGATGAATTTCCATATAATGATAAGTGAAGCTGCATAGGCTAAAATTCCTTTACGGCTGTCGTTTATAAAACTATTAGAGAACAAAAAAGCGTTCGTTTTTTCGTCGCAAATATAGCTCATACCTCGCAGGTGTATGGGCTATATCTGCGTCAATACGCGCCGCTAATGGTTGCATGCGAGTAGATTAGTCAATTAACAAAGCTAAAGGGAAAATCATTTTCAGTTACAAACAATTTCGAGTGTGGATAGAAAAAAAACAACATTTTATCAGTGTTTACTATCAAGCTGGGCACGTTGAAAACCATCATTTATCTACCTTAAATCTACGTAAAGCTCTCTTGCGTAGTGTGAGGCAGGGCTGTGCACTAATACATCTACGGGTTGCATTTCAGTCGAAAAGCGAAAGGAGTGACGATAGCGACAATATATTCTCCAAGGCCAACTTGATTACACCAAAACCCATAGGCCCACATAGCCTTCGGAGCGGCCATGTGACATAACTCGGAGTAGTGCCCTGGCAAAAGGCATCCTTGGAACAAAGTCGTCATCCCCTTGATACAAGAAAAAGAAATACAGCCGTCCCGTATAATTTCACCCTGCCCTATTCCATGGTCTTGTCACATTCTGCATAGATAAGCACACCAGTTCTTTTGGACGTATAGTTTCGTTCCTATATATGACGCAGTGACACTAAGGGCTTCGTTAGTGTTATCTGGTAAACAGTTCATCTCTTTAGCGTTTGTGTCTAACATGTACGGCTTGAAAGCGTTCTTTTAAATGGTCAAGAAATATGGCGTTCGGTCACTGTGGCAATAAGTGCTATCGCTAATGTTTTACAAAGATTAATGATATTAAAGGTTTACAATATTAAAAACGTACCCACTAAATGAAGGTTCTTTTTGTTTGCATTACCCATGTAGCGTCTTTGAACAAGTCTCCGATAGTTCTGCACTTTGCCTTAATGAGCAATACCTAAAGGGTTACCGATAGAAGTGGATTTTTAAACGGGCCTTGGAATATCGACCGATAAAATAGCTAAAGTTCAGTAAGGCTTAAAAATGAAGAAATTGGCGGACTATAAAGTCAACATAGAGATGTGATTCAGAGACGTATGTGCACTTATTCTTTGATTCCCGAAACCAATTAAATCTTATGTCCTGTTGGGTTATATTGTACAGGCTAGTAAAGAACGATGTGTATCCTTGTTTGCATAGTGATTTTACTTTAGTGAGGGACTTGAGATGCACGATGACACGACTGACGGTGAACGCGGGCCTCCCACAAGTCGGTTCTGAGAACTGTAGAATACTGGGTACGATAACGCACATACTGCAACAATATTACATGAGGAGAGTTATTGTTGTAGCTTTTTCGGATGACTTAGTCGCTTTGATCATTGAAAAAGACATGGATGATCTGCAACAGAGGATCGATGACACTATCCGGAACAAGCCCAACGATTACAATCTGAACCTGGCCCCTAAAGAACGGAGCTTAGGGCTCTTAGTGATTGTAAGAAACATAAAAGTATCCTAATGTACATAGAAGTTGTCTCAACATTTTTTAGAAACTATTAGGTGCGACCTGCAACAAACAAACGGCTCTCAAGTTAAATCAACGACTGGTAAAACCATCAAACCTGTTAACCATTTCGCCCAATTCATGCCAATCACACATGATCCTGGTAGCTGACGCACTGTACCCTATCTTAATTTTGCAGGTAAATAAACAAAGGCGAATGAAATTACAGCGGCAAACAACTCTGGGATTGGCCCGAGTGTTTCGAACTAACTCAAATGAGTCAGCGATATTTACTCTCAATTTCTTAGAAGCTGCAAGTAGAGAGAATAATTGACGATCTAATCACGAAATAATAAAAAAGAGGGCGCTGCGCGAGAACTTGCTGGCTACATAGAGTGCAAGGTGCTGCAGTCCTCGAGAAAGGCCTTGAAACGGTATTGAGAATATTACAGTATGCTCCAACAACATTCGTATCTGGTTCAGCTATTGAGTGGACGCGGCTTCCTCGGGAAGCACCAAAATAGAGTAAATGGTATTGAGAATATCACATGTGATCTGATCTTTTAATCGAAGATAGGAAGATTCAATCGATTGTACTTCTCAGAAACGCGAAACGTTTAATTTTAATGCAGGGATGACTTAGAGAATTGTATTGTAAGATTGCCCCCCTAGTACTGGTAGGTCAACAAGATTCTAGATAGGAGGATTAACTAGAAAAATATGGACGTATGTGTGACGCAAAGCCTAAGGACTGAGATACCTTTTTGTTTGATGTTTAGATTAGTTTAGTTGAAGACAGAATGGTTAACAACTATTTTTGTCGGTAGCGGGACGACGCACAAGTCAGGCTCTCCAGCTTCAGTCTGTCTACCTTATGATACGAAGGGAAGCGATTTTAATAGGTGAACATCTCAGACCCGACTTCTTCTACGAAAAACTCCCATAGTGTGTGTTTAAACATGCTATTTGTAATTTCGCCAACAGCAAAAAAAAATGGAAAAGGTGACTTTGTTTTGATCGGTTTACTTTTTGAGCTTATCTAAAAGGCCAATGCAGTATGTTTCCACATTTTTTTCTCAATTCATCAAATATTTATTTTATTTTAGATGGTTTTTCTCTTTCTTAGAAGATACTCTTTTCGCTGATCTTGTTTTCTGACTCGCTTCTTTGAACAAAATTATTACTGTGATTCAAGCCTTGATCCAGCCTAGCCTATACTACCTTCACCTAATGAGCGACATAAGACAACGGACATGACGTCCTGATACGATTTGCTCAATAACGAAAATACCGGAAATCGGAAGTCACAGCCCTTTAGGATGTATGCAAAATTATACATTGCTGTTTTTGCCTATTTACCTTTTAAGTAGATCGATAACTGTAATGAAACATATCGAAATTTTTCGAAGTAACGCATGTTATTGAAGTGACTCATTTAGATTAGCGCATAACCGTACTGTGCACTCAGATCGTACTCATCGACTATTCATTACTGGTAAATCAAACCTGCCAACACTCGATGCGCTGAGGTTTGCATTTTCATTTCAGATGCGTAGAACGAAAGATATCAGATAAGCTGCAGATAAAGACATCTGAATGAAGCGCAGAAGTCGTAAGTCTGCGTTTCCTTCGTAGTAAATATCCTATTATAGATACTAGATTATGCCGCCTCACTTTCAAGTTCAATTCGATCAGTGGATCGCAGCTCGTATACTGAACTATCAACAACGATTGCAATTCATACAATTAATGTTTTTACAATGTTTGTTTTGATGAAATAGGTAGGATTTACCTTTGCATGGGGCCCTAGATTCCGAATCTAGGGTCTAACCGAAGAAGATAAGTAGAGTGCGGAAAATAACGTGTCCGTGTTTGACCGTAACAGCACAACCAATATAAGTGTTAAGGTGATGTTAACGTGATTAGAATTCTTCTCTAACTATCGCTTAGTTACAGATACAGTTAAACCTTGACTACTTTTAAATATCGACAAATTAAGTTTAAAATAGAGTCAGAGAACCACGACAGCTTTTTTTTTTTTGCAAAATTGGGCTTCTACCTGATTAGAGATCACTGGTCAGCTCAGCAAACCGCGTAAAAGCAGTGTTATTACTCAATGTTTTATTGCTTTCAGAGTATTTTTACCCGTATGCGATCGTTTCCAACTCAACGACTGGACAAATACAGGAATACTTCTAGATCTGAACTAAAAAAATCGACCTAATTTAACGGGAGGATAATAGCGACTATACTTCCTTTATCATAGTGTTTGCCAGCTTTGAGGCGTTCGCATTATACGAGACGTGTCTAAGTTGCAATACAAGTTCTGTTTAATACTGATCAGCAAGGCCATGCAGACCTTGCTCATTAGTGAATTGTATTTCTAGTTTATGCTGTTCAATGCAACAGCATAAAAGTGAGTGTCTTTATTGTATAGATTGGTTTATAAAGGTTGCAGGAACAAGCACATTAGCAAAAGCAATCGTTGCAAGAGCTTTAGACGCTGGTGCTAGGAAGCTAGGTACTATTCGGGCAAAAAACAAAACCAGCACAGACCAGATCTGGATGGTTCGCAATTATACAGTGCGCAGTGATCTAACTGCGCCGGATTCGTCAGTGGATATTTATTTTATTCTGACGCAGTCTACTAGAAAATTCATCACACTGAGCTTATTTTTTTTCAAGTAGTATTTTTTTTCTATGGAATGAAAAAAGTCAGTAAGCGCATATATGTAACGTTGAATAGTCTTTAAGCGCAATTGACATTTGGCCGCCGTTTCGACGGAACAATATTGGAGTAAGCGTCGAATATTGCAACACCCGACAGGTTCCGTCACCTCGCGCATGAAGATCTATGTTAACGTGTCTGTTTCTCTCTCCCTCTCTGTCTGCTGATTCAGGCATTAAAGTAACCACTACCACTCACTGCTACTATAGTCTAATGGTAGTCAGCGCTCTTTCTTATCGAACAAATAGCGTCGTCTACTCTATTTAGTCGGTCTCTCGCTTACGCATGGGGTGGTTCCCTTTCTCTCGAGACATACGCGAATTAACAAGAAAATCTTGAGTCAAAATGTAGTTTTTGTCATCACAGAACTTTTCGTTGCTCTACAACACGTGGACTTGGCGGATGCGTTTACCTTACGAAGGTTACTATTACACTGCTTTTAACTCGCCCGGACTTATTTCTGATCGTAATGTTTGTAATCGCTGCAAGCGTATGCTGAGTAAGACATTTCGGCTTCTTCCATCGATTTCGCACTTTCAATTCATGTCCGCCATTGTATAATTCATCCTCGTGACGGTAAGGTACACGCAGCCACAAACCCAATCCGACAGGTGGACAATTTCGAAAACGGCGAAAAGCGGCAAAATCAAAATCTCACTTTCGTTTTTCTGGAAGATCTGCCACAGTGGACGTTTAGGAGCTACTTGTGACAATCTGACGACATAATGATGTTATCGTGTTTACGGAGCCGACTCATAACACCCCTGACAATCGAACTTCAGTTCATCATCGCAGTAATAACATCAGCTGCGCCACCAGCTCCTCTAGACTGTGAGTAATATAGTTTTTTTTTTTTTTTTTTCAGCTGAAAAGCATGTGCCTATTTTTTGAATTTAGTGGCAAAATTATTTTAAGTACAAACGAATTGATCTTAGATTGCGCAATCACCTATTAGAAATTGTACATATTATTTAGAGCCTTGCGAGATAGGCTGGAATCATGTTCGTGTCCTTTTTTCGCACTTTAACAAATAGAATAATAGTTAGAAGTCACACTGCCTCCACCTTTATTTTCTCAAAACTTTACGCTTTCGAAAGACGTTTCGGTTATATGTCCGCTAAGAATATTGCTCACTGGGCGTTTTTTTCCTTATAACAGTCCAGATGGGGTCGGTAGCAGTTCGCTTATGCTCTGATTGCAGAAACACAACATCAGACCCTGCAGCTGGTTGACCTCGAAGACCTTTGCAAGCGTATGTAAGAAAAATGATTAAATTTTGTTTGGCTAAGATACGAAGAGAAATTACAGACACGAGCTAGCGCCTGTGAAACGTGTTTGCAATAGAAACAGTCCAGTCCAGTCTTACATAGAGCCATATAACAATTTTACATAAACGCCGCGGGGCTTTTAGTTAGCATGCAAGACTAGACTCTAATACTATCTTAATCCGGTTACGTCTTACGTTCACTACGGCAATTTCTGTTAAATCTAGAGGATTTCTTTTAGCTCGTCGAAACACACGGTCGAAACTGTATTTGTGGCAGTTGACAAAATGCTACAATATCTATACTTTCCGATAACCAGTGGCATTCTACCATTTTTGTGCGTTTTTAGTCAGATGCTCCCTAGAGCCGATCACCGGGGCCTGCCGAGCGGCGTTTCTTGGGTTCTACTTCGATACTGACTCAAGGAAATGTAAACAATTTACTTATGGAGGCTGTGGAGGTAATGGATTCATTTTCTATTGCATGGAAGAATGCGACCTTGTCTGCGTACAGCGTAAAAATATCAAAGATTTCATCGAACGAATCGAGCAGATCCTTGCTGCGAACGCCAGCGATGAACTAAACTCCTCGCCGATTGCATCATTAGATGGGAACACAGCTACTCATTCTACTAAATCTAACAGCCGTCATCTAGCTAACGCTTACAACGAACACATAAAACAAGAAGACGCTCCATCTGGCACGCTCTGGCTAAATCCTAAGCCGATGATGAAAGTCAATAAAAATGAGCCAACAAGAACTCGTGATGGCTACCGTGCTTTTCACGATACAAAGTTTCGCTCGAAATACATTTGCCCATTACAGGAGGCATTTGAAGCCGAAAGCCTTATTGATGATGTGAAAGATGACCAACGAGGGGTGACTCAGAGTACGACGGAGTAGATCGCGGCTAATCCTTCATCCTAACTGGTAGAACGCTTGGCTTAACTTGGCCAAATGTACATGCACTGCAGATAATAGCGTGACGGACGTAAAACTCGATTTGTGCTGTACGGTCTGGGAGATAGATGAAATTTTGGCTTTTTCGCCTATTTGCATAGATCAATTGTTTTTTTGTTACAGAGCAAATCTTGAACCTTGTGCCTCGAAAATGGTGTATCCAGGTGATCTCGTACCGTACTCGAACGAAGCCTACGTTGCCCTCTCCTGTTGACCCGCATGCAAATACTATGAATAAAATGATAACCAATTAATGGACACTACATAACTGTTATCGTCGAACTGATATAGCTATCTTTATTTCATGGGTTTTAGCGTGCCGACATGAGAAGGCATAGGCCACGCACTAGCGACGGTGCCAGACAGCACGTTTAACTCTGTAGTATCTGATTTTCGCGATGGTATCTCCGTGATCTGGCCTTAATCCTTAGTAATAATTCCTCGATCATATATATATATATATATATGCTTATCAAGGTAGTATTTTCATATATTAGTTCGAAAAAACTAACTTAACCTTATACGATTTCAATATTAAGTGGCTTATGCCTTAAATGCAGTTCGAAAAGGGATACTTCTACTAGGACTAGGCGCTGAAATATCTCCAATATATTGTTTGTTCAGTTCCATCCATCTTTATCAAACGAATCACAAAGACAAATATGTTTCTGTAAACAATTCGCCTACTATTAGACAAAATTTACGTTGGGATGATGCAGACGCTAAGTTTTCTAAAGAGATCATATTCAAAAGTGTTGCATTCATACACTGTTCCCTGCATCTGATACACTTGGTTCATGGTGATGCATCGCGTACCTCCTAATATGACGATTTGAGCGGTTCGGTGTCACCCGTTCGAAGTCTAACATAGGCTCAGATTTGTAAGACTACGTCTATTTCCGCGAAGTTACCTTGTTAGGTTTCGGGATATTCGCGTTCGCGTTTAAGAGACACAGCTTTGAGCTCATTTTACTGCTCTGTGTTTGCAAAAGAGTTACTCCTATATGATCTCTATGTCATAGGTAATCACAAGGGCTATACTGAAATCGAAACGCCGGGAGGCGATAGCAACTGGGAGAACATGAAGATTCCTGATAATAGGCCTCGCTGTTATGGACGTGCGGTAAAAAAAAAACTGGAAGCACCGCCATTTGTTAGGACATCCACCATAAAAACGTTATTCTAGTCCTTGATCATTTTACAACCTAAACGAGATTAGAATTATTTAGTCAGGGATCACAATCAAGCATCATATATATATATATATATATATATATATAGAGGGAGAGAGAGAGAGAGAAAGACAGAGAATTCTCTATTTAGATCATGGGACAGCGTAACACTCGTAACTGTAACTCATAAGTATAGTATTAAATGATATTAATTCTCGTTGCCAAATATCTATGTGATATCTAGGTGGGAACGGATGTGTACTTTTGTTGTTGTTGTTTATAGAATCACACCCGTAACTTAATATTTTTCAAACGACTCGAAACCAATCTCTGTGGGTAGATTTTTCATTTTAAGCAAAAAAAAACATGTGTCTGAAACGGATGTACTTTTTAGCCTTTTCCTTATGTAGAATGTGTCCTAGCTACGGCAGTAAATTATAACTTTCTACACGTTCAACCGGAAAGCATACCAGTGCATATCAATATATTTAGCACTTTTATTTCAAAAAAAATCATAGGTATTTGATGATTGAATATTATATTGAAATTTCAACATTTGAACCGTCAGATAACTTAGAAAAAAAAACCTTTATAACGTCATTTTTGAGCACGTAAATAGTAGCGAAAAATTGAAATCATGAAAAATACGTTTTACTCAAATAAAAACGTTAAATACATGTAACTGACAAACATTTTCAAGTTCACTGGTTACGTACGGCAGGAATTATACAGTGCATCTGTAGCAAGGTTTTTAGGGTAAAAATACCTTTAAATATCGATAGTCAGACATAAATTAAAAATATAAACTTAATCGAAAGATGGTACCTTAGTGGTAAAGTTTCGAAATTATTTAGGATGCTATAAAAATTAGATAAGTTTTGAGTATCCGTCTGATAAGGAACACCAAATTTAGTGGTCGATTAATCTAACAAGATAACAAGATTTGTACGAAAAAGAGAATTAAAGTGTCAACGTTATAGAAACTAACTGGAAAAAGATTCAGATGAAATCCGTTTAGCACTTATTTCCCATTTTATATCAGCCTCTAGGTTCTCTGCAGTTTCAAGCGGACATAACAATGTGTTCTTTTTTTCGTGTAAACTTTCAGGCTACCAAAGTATAGATACAACCTTTAGCATGGAAAACACAGTAAGAGAGGAATGCGAAAGCATACATGTACATCGTATAGTCACATTTGTCTCTCAAATCAGATTTTTCTATTCTAAATCAGCATTTGTGACCTGCTTAGAGACTCGGTGACAGGATCCTATATTCCATTGTCTACATCATACCCTCTACACTGATCCTGTACACCGTGTCGCCTTATATTCCAAGCCGCTATGGTGATATAGCGCCAACTTGAAGTACACTACTATTTTCAAAGTACAAAACGGCGTCTCGACTATCTGAGGCGCAGCTCCGTGTAAGTTGTCTTTCTAGAGTCTAGTCCCCTAAAATATCCAAGGCCACGTTCCGCTGTGCACGGGGTTTCTACTTGCAGATTCGCTAGAATCAAATAGATCGGAAAGGTATTCCTTCCATTTATTCTTCCCGTTGCACGTTTCACTAGTAAACCATAACTTCACTAGTTGGCATTTGGCCAAGGCGCGCGTTCGCTTTTCTCTATGACGCATCGGTTCCAGTTCTTGCACCAGGCTGCGAAGACCCCCTTCACTGCTCCGCAGGGATCTTAGCCAAAGTCCTTTACGGCAAGCTATTACGATGTTCCCTTTGTAACTGTCAGCTGCCAGCCGTCATCCTATTGATACCAAAAGGGGTCTCGTATTTCTCAGCTGAACCACTCTTTGGCAATAGATTGTTACTCAAGTCACACGATCTGACTTCATTCTTGCTTAATTCAGATCTCACCTGATTGAACCACTAATTAAACTTGCTTATTTTTCTCATTATACTTGCATAAATCACTTATGCAGAAAAGGAAATACTTACATAGGATAAAACGCAAATGCATTCTTTTTGATATTTGTTCATTTCACGCGTCAGCTCCTTTATTTCGACAGGACGTGATCAGCAGCAAACGGTACTTCTTTAACAGCCTTTCGTCCAACGGCATGTTTCTCCCGTATATTAAAAACTCTATAGAAAGTGTAGATACTTCGAATCTATGCAGAAGCCTCCGTCCGAAGTTGACAGACTATTTATTACTTGACTAACTTAAGGAACCGTGACTCGCTTCGCTCAGGACTATCACACAGCTAGTAATGGTCCTAGAGTTCGTGGTTCGAAACTATTATGTTATTAGCTGGCTTTACAACTTTGTTCGATATTTAGTAACACGATCGACGTAAAAATTTCATAATCCTTATCATAATGAAGTTGCAACTAGGGTGAACAATATTTAACATGTAAGCTGGTTTCTAAGTGTCTCTTCGTGTAGTCTTTCCGATATTATCATGACGGATACTCACTCGATTTTCCAAAAAAACGCAATTTATTCTAAATCTATTTAAAATGTATCACTTTTTACGCTGACGATGTTATTTCTTACCTCAGCGACATCCAATGAATGGTTGGCGAGTCTCCCGTACACCTCAAGGGTAAGCCTTGTTCTAATTTTGACTGCCATTTGTTAGCCTTATGTGACATAATACAGTTTCTTGTTTGGTTAATAAACGGTTTTCAAAGTTCAAGTTGTTATTTGACTGCGTTCACAGACGCTAACATATTTAGCCGAAGTAATAATATAAAATTATTATTATATTCTTATAGCTGAGCTCGTTGCCCATTACGAGACTGCTTAAACTCAACTCTATGCATTCCCTATCGAAGGGCACTGTCTCAATGGCCTTTTGAGTAAGGGTTGTGTCTCTCAGTGTTTGCCTAACGATAGCTTCTCCTTCGTTTTTCCCAAAAAGCATCTGCCTAAACATAACTCGACATTTATCTACTAATATCGCAACCGCTAGTGATACATTAAACGGAGCCAAGATCTGCAATAGCTGACCATACGCTCGGAGCTAAAACATGTTTTCCAGAAAATGTAACGTGTGATGTATCTGTACTTGGTTGGCTTTAGCTCTGTATGTACACGTGTTCCTTTGATCTTCCTAGCGACTCCACCGAAGAGGGGAGAGAGGCCGCCTTAGGAGAGGGCGTCCTCGCGCTCCCGTAGAATCGTGTTTTCGGGACTCGTCTCGCATACAACACTCTGGTGCATTTAGCTCAGGTGTCCGCCGCCGAAAGAACCTACGCATTACTCCACCAACTATGCCCAGCTGATCGTGGCTTCCGAGTACCAGGATGGTTGAGTCTGTTCCGTAGGGCAAAGTTCTGTGCACGATGGCCAGTCCTCGGTTGTCGACTCTCTATCAAGAGGCCCATCTACCGGCCGATATCCTCGAGCGTTTCAAGAAGTTTCGAGACAGTGGCAAGTTCTGTGACGTCACTATGCTGGTCAATGGCGAAGAATTGCATGCTCATAAAGTGTTACTAGCTTCGTGTAGTCCGTATTTTGAATCGGTGTTAAAGTCCCACCGAGTTGTAGGCGAAAGACTCCATGTGCCAATACCAGTAGGCACAATTCGTGCATTTCGAAGCGTCTTGGCTTTCATCTACACTGGATCAATTAATATTGAAACAAGCAACATGTTAGACCTATTGAGCATGGCGAATTTTCTTCTGCTGTTCAAGCTGAAGGCGTTTATCGCAGAGGTTATGGAATCGACGATATGCAGCAATAACGTTCTAGCGGTACGCGAAGCCGCTATTAAATACTACCTGCCGAATCTACATCTGGCTGCAAGTAGCTTTATAAAAGATAACCTCGAGCTGGTAAAACCATCCTTGCTCCGACTTGACTTCGTCAGGTTGGAGGAACTTATACTAGATAAATGTATAAATATCGATCGAGGTTCATACCTAGCCTCACTTGTTATTTCGTGGGTCTGTTTTCGTTATAAGGAACGATTTCATCTCTTACGACTTGTTCTTTGCTTAGTTGACTGGAGTGATTTCTCTCCCGGTCAGGTGGTAGCGTTAGTTATAAAACGTCCACAGGCAAAGGAGCTTCTTCCGATAATGTTGAATGTATTTGAAGAGCTAAGAAATAATGAAAGCACTCCTTTAGAGGTGGATTTAATGGCAACGAGAATTCAACTTGAACGAATTGCTGTAGATGCGGCGATTGACGCACTGGCTAGACAGGACGATGAGAGGGCTCTAGGCTCTGCGGAGGAGAACAGCGACGACGGTAAGACGAAATGTTGAAGCATAAGTACCTGCGTAGGTATTATGCTTCTTGGATACTTTACTTTAGATATGACATGTAATCTCTATTTTCGCCTAGAGGCGCGCAATTTCAAAAAGAAAGACGTAACCTTCTAGGCAAACTTACTCTTTGAACCTTGGATATAGTCAACGTAGCCGCGGTACGTTTCTATCAGTTCAGTCATTTTAACAGTATTCGTGCGGGTAAAGGTTCGCGACTAAGTACATGTTTATACGTTTACCACTTTGGGTTCCAGATAGTCATCCCCGTCTGATGAATGGCGACATCCGCATGGATGATCTTGGTGGAGACACAGATGTTTCAGAGGACGACATAGCCCCCGTTAGCGCAAGCAGCGACGTGAAAGGCATCTGTTGCGAAAAATGTACTTTTATCGGTAAAGGGGAACATGCAAGATCGCTTCTCAGGAACCACATCGGTAATATTTTACCTTAGGCCATCAAAACACTGCGGTTATTTTTAGCAGAGTAATATAGGAATAAACATTTTACTGTATTTGTGTTTTCGCTATAGCCCGTCACGTTTATTTGTTGCTGCTACCGTCGTAGCATTTAGTGCATTTTTTTTTCGAGGTATACAGATAGTCGTATCAAAAATTCCTACGCCAGCCATTGCTACACACTGTGTTGCGTTTCTATCGTGATTAACTATACGATTCCCATATACGGGTTTCATCTTGTTTGGTTTCCAATTTGCTATCCTTAGAATAGCTTATATTATATATGACGCCATCGATTTAAAATACGAACGTTGCATATTGTCACTTTCAATAAGTGATTAACTAAGTTAACTGATAAGTTAACTGACTTTTCTAAACACGAATTTTAATAAAATAGTCTGATTATATGTTTGCTTGCAGAACAAGTCCATGTGCGCCAAATTACATATAAATGCTTCCTGTGTGGGTTCACATGTACGTGGAAACGACAATTTCTTGACCATCTTAAAAATACCCATTTTCCTCGCAGTCCTCCCTACCGCTGCGATGCATGTGAGCATCGTACATTGAAGATTTCCACCCTCGTGCGCCATCGACGTAAACACCTCTCGGATAGGCCTTTTTCTTGCGAGCTATGCACATACAAATGCCGCCATCAGGCCCAACTAGAAACACATTGTAGGCTTCATAAGGTCGATCGCCCATACGTTTGTCGTTGGTGCAGACACTCCTTCGTGACACAGGAAGCTCTTGACACACATCTGAAACAGACGCACCCCGGAGAGCGTTTCCTGCGCTGTGACCAATGCTCGTACCGAACCCGTTACCCCCATCATCTAGCTACACACCGACGTGTTCACCTTAAAAGTGTTTTTCATTGCCCGGAAGCCCTGTGCACGTTTACGACACCATCCGAAGCGCAGCTGGAAACGCATATCCGACGGCATATCCCAGAGAAAACGCAGCTGTGTCCCACCTGTGGAAAAACGTTTGCTGACAAGGCCCACCTGCTAAGGCATATGCGTTCACACAACGATAAATGATTGTGGTCGTCATCATCAATATTACCCTCAAAACAGAAGGACCTTCAGCAGGGCCAAATTCATAAGGCCGATATAAGGGACATTAGAGGGACACAAATGTCAGACTAGAACGCGGACTGTCGGTGAACCGTTGCGCTCGAATAGATCACTTTCAGTGCGATCCCTAGCCCAGACGGTTTGTATGCTTTCCACACTCATGTCAAACGATGTATTATTTGGTTGGCAGTTTGCGAGCAAATACTGCAGATGATGTTATAAGGTCGTTCAGATTTGCTATTTTCCCGCGCGTCCTGCACACTAGCAGGTAGGCAGGTCGCGCGAGCCGCTAATTTAGAGGACAATTAAATAGATCGAATGTTTAGCTCAATCATCTAGTCTAAATGTCTACCGCAAGCGTTATTAATTCAACTAGCCTAAATAAATAGGAGAGATTATGGATCATATATCGGTGTCTTTTTTAATAAAAACACAAAATATATCAATTGTATAATCTATTGAATAATATTATTACAAGTGTTAACTGAAAATGTATAGATCTAACAGATTACGATTATATATATGGCGCAAAACAGATTTGGTCGTACCGCTCACCGCTTCGGCAGGTCGGATTTAGCACTGCCTATTGTCAAAAACAAAAAGTCTTCGGGGCCGATGCTTGCGTCCAGCCACTCGATTAAGTGTGAAATTGTGTAGGTAGATGCTGAGAGATTCACTGTCTGTAGTATACATTAAATAATTTAAAAAATAACAGTATTTGGTAAAATTCAATCGAGCTCGAAAGAGCGACAATATCAGTGAGTAAATTTCGGGATGCCAAGTATAGTGGTACGATTATAAACGATCTGGATTTGCGAAGACCTCAAATTTGTCTTGGTACGTTAGTATATCTGCCCTTTCGAAGAGAAACAAGCGATTTCTTATAAGGCTAATCGTTGCCAAGATATGGCTGCATAGTATTGCGCGAGGTTTTTCCCAAAAAATGTTCAATTCGACAGTTTATATCGTTTATAAGGATTTAACAAAGTACACGAATGACAGAAAAAAAAAACAGTATCACAAGTAAGAACAACTAAGGAACGTTTCAATGTCAAGTTCGCCAACATATTTTCCATGCATCCATCTATTGATATAACTTGATTTGCTTTGTAGTATCCTAGGAATAGGTTTTAATTTTAGATATCTATATGACGTTTGAACAGCTCCTTAGAATTCTATTGATTTAACACGGAAATTTCTCAACGTAGAGCCGTGCTTTAAATACTACAGAAATAATCCTACATATAGAATAGCATCAATCATAGCACGTACGATAAGCTAAAAAAAAAGTCTAACTATCCTAGTAGTCATCAAATAACATGATCTGTAGTCATAATGTAGTGACGATTTAAACTGTTATATTACATCATACTGCACGCTTTACGAGCACGTAAACGAGACGGAACGCGTGCATGACACATTGCTTCTAATAGTATCATCGATTAGAAAAAAAAAAAGCATAAAGCCAAACTGTACACACTGACACTCCTGATTAAGGGGATCTACGCACGCAAGCACATTTTATATGTAAATATACTCATTTACTATGACTTTTTTTTTTTTTTTTTTTACCGTACTCTCTATCCGTTTGCTTCTTGCTTTTACTTGTTCTTATGGCTAAGAACGTCGGCCAACGCCCAAATAGCGACTATTGGACCCCAATGCCGACGGCAGAGGTCCTCGTGGACCTGGCGCTTGGCCGTTATTCATTCGAAGTATCTTGCCAGCGAAAAAGATAGCGCCTGTGGGTTTATGAACCACGAAAAACACGAATGGATGCCGCACATTGAATGATGGATGTCCTGATATCATGAATCATACAAAAAAAACATTAAGTAATGTCTGTGTGTGACCATAAATCACATTCTACCTTTAGCTAAACTAATTTCTACATGAAACTGCGTTATGACAATTTTTGAACATCATTAGCCTATATAAGGAACAGGTACGCTGTCATTGAAAAATACTATATCAGTTAGGCTTTCTCCACTGTACAATGCTACTTCGGGAGGATTTCGAACGAACTTACTAGAATAATTTATGATCGGAGCTGTCGTCAGAGCAACTGCTTCAGTTCCTCGTTCGTCAACTTGAATCTTAGCCTTGTGAATTACGTCATCTAGAACAATTTGACCCATTGGGTCGATTTCCGGGAGATTTGCTGCACCTATAATAAAAACGATATGGTTAGATCACGACACATCTGTCTATAATTGACCGTTTTCTCGAAAAAAACTTTCTTCAAAATGAGGTATATTTTATTAAGCAAGTGAACACCGATGTTTTACCAGAATCAAGAATAAGAAATGATGTGGTGGATGAATTTGATTGCAGATTTTTCTTTAATTTGGACGCTCTCGGCTTACACAAAAGGAACAATATACCTGAACAAACAAAAATACTTGAATCAATATGGCGTATCGCACTAATTGTAACTTATGGCTACATTTAGTATAATTTATTCCTTTATACGCACCTGGAGTAAACAGATCATGGACACCAAGATCGTACAGATGCTGCTTGAACCGATAGCTACCCTGCGCTTCGAAACGGGGTATATGCAAATCGAGTGATTCGTTTTGATAATTATCCAAGTCATCAATAAGCTTCAGAACGTTGAGTCTTTGTAGCATTCGGTCGACGCCTCGTGGATGCTTCGGTAGCAGGATGAGCATTACCGAGATATCACCTTCATACGCCAGCTGAATGGCATCGGCTTCGATTTCGGGCAGAGACTTCACGGGGAAAATATGTCGCATATACATCATCTTCACCGGGACCTCGTTAACGCCATCATCGGCGAACGTGGAGTCAAACGATGATCGCACTGAGAAGGGCTGTTTCCAGAAGCCCTTCAAGTAAACAGCATTCATTAGAACCATTTGTGTATCTGGGCTGAAGCTACCAACGGGGTTAGGAATTTGTCCATGGGTAGCCTTTGTGATAAGCTGGTTTATTTGGCTAGCGGCCTCGTGAGGTCGCGAGAAGTCCACATTTTCCACGGACGAAGAAAACGCATCATTAATGATGTTCCTGTACGTCTGGCTGACGTTGAGACCTTTTCGGGTGAACAGAAAATTGCCCAACTCGAACGAGAAACCCACGTTCTTAGCAGCCCTTCCAGCAACTGAGATACTTCGAAGAGGCGATTTAATCATGTCTTGATTCAGTCCAAACTGCTCATAGTTGAGGACGCGAAACAACTCCTTCATTGTATTTCCATCCGATGCGAAATAGAGCATGCTCAGTGCGATGGACAATGATACAGGCGCTAAGATAGTATTGTCATTATTTGAAATTAAATACTTCATCAGATTCAAACCAAAACTGTTTCCAGCCAATATCACCTTTCGAAGTTCCTGCGGACATGAGCAGAAATGCGAGCCATATTTGAGATAATACATTTTGTGTTGGAAAAATATTGTATCTCAGCTGGAAAATTTAATAGCTCCACTGTCTAACAAAAACAGTGTTGCCTGTTTCAAAATGTATACTAAGCAAGCCATGAACGTTAAGAAATACCCTCTCGTATCTAATCTAAATTATCAATTCTCGGTGGTAATACGAAAAAAACGTAGCTTTTTATTGCAGTACTACTAATAAATGACAGATAGGCCTCACATACACGCTAGTTTTTATAATAAAGTATCGCCTTCAATTCGTGATATCAAGATGTATAAACCTGACCGGCAAGAAAAAATGCGCTTATCAGTGTAGCTTTTTACGACAACGGTATAATATTAGTAATACGATGAAAAGTATGTCGTACGATTTCAATTCTGTAGAAGCAAATTAAGAAATTCGATAGAAACATAGTTAAATTACCAGCGATACGCTTGCCGTTAACTGCGGCCTTTCTAAGAAAACGCAATTTGTGAGGCGTTTGCAGCAGTAGATAAGAGGTAGAGTCCCCTATTTCTTGCCTATTGTTGATATAGCCGAGCGCGGTCACAAGGCACGACATCATTCTACTGACGTATTAGCTAGTTTTCTTATTTTTGTCTGTTAATATACTCTTCCACATCTACTTGCTGCGGTTTTCCGAAGGCACAGCTCTTAGTTAACTTGTTGATCAGCTGTCACTGGTCACACTATGACGCTATAGGCAGTTATTATAACGGTAAGATTGGGCCAAATACGACAGCTGGTATCATGGTTTGTATCTTGTGTACGGGGTTGGCGAGCTCGAACGCTCAAGGAAATAGACACTGTATTGTGGGGAATCTGATTGTCCTGGCTCGATGCTGATGAGGACGGGGTGCTGGAATGGCTTGAATGTGGCGAATAGGACAGGGTGCCATAGGAATATATCGGTCCATAATAGTCGCGTATTGATACATACTGCACATTCGGAAGCGATGAGATGCGCCAATTGCAACAACAACAACATTTAGGTAATCTGCCATTACTGAACTGAAACATATTAAAATAGAGGTTTTCACAGATGCGCATCGCTCCTTCCTTGTTCAACTTGTATTTAAATTGTAAGATTACGACGTAAACGATCATGACGTTTTTGTAAACCCGTGCGTGGATGAATGTGCAGAATCTCTGTAATGAGCAACTGTAAAATGAGAAACCTAATTTGTCTCGTATTGTGTTATTGTTATTATTACGTCTACTACTTGCGCTTTCTGAATCCCTAAGGGATCTGATGCTTTTAAGTCCTCCACTCACGTTCGACTTTTGCTTACGCTAACGTTATTTCTACTTCAAAAAAATGCGGCCGTATGACTTTATAATTGCATCGATGACGCATCTATGTTACAGCAAGGGGTTTTATAGCAAACTAGAGGACGCAGCAACGCTGGTCGGCCACTCTTCCGTCGTAACGATACCAAAGAGATTTTCTCAAAGCTTTAACCTCACAATAGCCAGTGGCCGACGCATGCATCAGCCGCTGCATTACGCGGGCGGCGGCCGCCATACCGACTAGGTGTATCATCGAATACATGATATTTACATAATGTTCTGTGAATGTCGCGTTCTAGCGTTGTCATGTCATGCCATGGTGACGCACCTCATCATGTCTCGTTTGCACAAAGTTACGAGAACGCTTTCGAACGAACTGTCCATAGACCGCGCAGGTTGCCAGAAGAAGCACAACGACGGCGCGCCAATAGCACCCCATGCTTGTTGCTGAAGTAACACGAAAGACCACGCGCCGGTCTTCAGTCCTCACACCTGGTGTGGTAAACAAAACTTGCTGCTGATGCACCACCGAAATCCGTACGAAAATCCTATTGCTCCGTCACCAAAAAGCGCCTAAGTGACGACGACGGCACCTGCAAACTCTTTACAAGACGGCTTTAATAATATATTCGCTCGTACTCAGTTCAGCAGCAATCATGACATGTAATAGACGATCAGGACGGCCGTCGGTCGGTCGGTCGGTCGATCGATCTGCTTTGCCAGGGACGGTACACGCCTCCCTCTCATTCCTTCGACGGTTTTGGCTCACAGGGGAAATGGAGTTGCTATCAGCGGAGGGCGAGCGAAGGTGCTCCTTCTACTGCTGCCACCGCTGCTACTGGCAAGGGGAGGTGAATATACTAAAATTATCTCGTTTTGTTCTGCAAACTGGAACCATCGATTCGGTAGCTGGTGGCGGCCAACTGGGCGTTAGCCGGCAGCAAATACCACCTGGGGTAACCGTGAGGATATGCACAATCTGTGGGTCGGAGTAATCAACAACAGCAGAGAGAAAAAGCCGCCCTTTCTGCACAAGAGAATACCTATGCCTGTAATGCTCCCGCCGTTGACGGTACTTGTGCATTCTCGGTGCGCTGACATAGTATGCCTTTGCTCTTTCGCCGGAAATCCCCGTAAGCGTACAATAATGAGAAGCTGTCCTCTTTTATGATTATATGCCTCAGTAATAATGCCACCAGCAGTAACAGCCACGAGGCGTAGTAAAGAGCTCTCATCAATAAATAAATCGCGTTCGTTGCAGCTTTTTCGAATAAAAAAAGAACACATGAGTACACCGAAGAGGGAGAAAGCAAAGAGCCTGCTAACTGAAAGTGAACGGGGGTGGGAGATTTTTGGCAACGCTAGTAGACGTTAAACCCCGCTATCCCGCTATTGTAACAGCAACAACACGAGTAGATAGGGACACAAAAGAGAAGGGTTCAATAGCTCGGCAACTAAAGACCTTAAATTCATTGTCTGTCCTCCGTATCGTCCCCGAGTTTTTCGGTTCTGTCCTTGTTAGTTCAGAAGCTTGGTCGTCGTTTGACAACGCGCAACCAGTTCGGATGAGATGCCTAAATAGGATACATAGTGAAATGACAAACACAATGCCCACCATAATCTTGCCATATGTATTAGACAAAGTTCATTTCAAACTAAATTCGAAGGTCCGATATAACTAACATGCGTTCAGCAATCACATTATGCATACAGCCGTTGCCCACATGAAACCATGCGCAAAATCGGAGTTGTCTTTCTTCTATTCTGATTTTAAAAGAGACAACCTTCTATTTACAATATATAATCTTTCTTTTAGCGCGTATGCTTAAAGGACTTAGACTCTTTGCATTGCTGTTACCTATATCTTGTGAGTTCCCAATGTGGTGTTGCTTCACATTGCGATTATTCAGCAATCAAATGCAGCTTACACATTTATCAAAAGCAGAAATGTACAATAAAAAAAAAAAAAAAAAAAAAAAAAAACCAATGCCGAACAAAGGCACATCACATTTGCCTGTGCGACAGTTTTGCAATTTCTGGGCACGAAGCAAAACGCCACGAGTAATGGCTTTTGCTGTATACATATACGGACCACGTGGAAAGTGAAGGTCGGTGGTGCTCACGTGTTTAATTTTATGTAGTCGTCGACACAAGCCGGACACCAGCAGAAGTTGCTGTGCCTGTCAATGCCTTCGTTTTCATCAGGCTCAACCAAGAATTTGCCGATAGATCAGCGTCATGTGGACGTCACTGAGAATTCCGAAGTGACAAAGTTGCCACTGGCTTCAGGTCAGAACACCGACAACCACGGTTATCGCTAGTTATAGCTGGATTGTTTTCGTCTTGGCAGGGAAAGTACAACAGGAAAAGGAAAAAACAGAACTAAGCATTGCTTAGAAATGTATCTGAAGTGCAGTCTCTACACCAGCCGCTTCGTCTTCGAAATATTGTTTGCTATAATTTCAATTATTACGATTTGGCTATCCCAGAATAGAAATATTGTTATCCATTTACGTGCTTGCGACGTACCTGGACACAGATATCGCATCAGACCCATGTACTCCTATTAAAGATGTTCACGCGTCGCTGATGCGTAATTGTTATCATTAGTCCTCATACACGTGCCTGCTCCAATGCAGAAATTCACGATACCGTCACGCCAGCTGCTCACAACGCTTTCGTTGAGGTTTTATGTTTAATATTGTGTATCTCTAGGTAATAATGCATGAAGTGCGCAACTTACCCGTTAGACAACACCAGTAGATTTTTACAGAAAGAAATAAGCCGTTCTGAAGTTTCATTACTATGAAATTCTATCATATAATTATGCGAATCTTCTAAATGAAGATTCTGCTTGGAGGTCTACTGTTGCCTACAACTCAAGGTAGATATGTGTTTAGTCGAGGAATGTTTTCCCTGTAATAACAAGGGTGCTAAAGTTACGACTTCATCCGTTATGCGCGGATAACTTAATGATTATTCAGCACTTTTTTTTTTTGCTCCTCACGATCCAGATGCTTCCGAACGCTTTTGATCTTATCGCTGCGACTTTCATAAGAATTAAACTAGATAAGGTGAAGTAAAAGCTTGGAAAAAAAAATGTATATCAAATTGTCGTATATTAGAAAACAATGACTCGCGCAGAGGCAGTTTGCGCTTCAACAGAACACAAAGCGCCTTCCTATAAATATTAAATTTTATTTATTAGCCTCTACTGCGCAGTAAGAGAGCACTTTATATACTGTGTTTTAATAGTCCTATGAATATAAAAAAAAAAAAAACAATAATGTAAGCGTATATTCTTTCAAAATTTAGTAGATATAAGCAAAAAACGTTCATGATAGACGTGTATTAAAAAGCGAAGACATAGCCCCTGCGAACGGTATGGCGCTGACTGAAAGATACTAGGCATTGTTCCATCTAGAGGCCGAAATTTCGTATCATGCCATGTCGCTCAGAAACCTTAAGACAGACCTTGATTACCAATAGAGAATAAAGTTGCCTTTCTTTTAATAAGCAAACTATCAGTGATATTCAAAAAGAAGCCACTGCAACATTGTCTAATCTAAATGACATTATGGCCTCACATTTTGATGCTATTCTTAAAAATCACTTAAATTTTATCCAGAAAATTCTTTGTTGTTTATACAGAAATGTTACCATTATCGAATTTTACTTTAGAAAAGGGACTATTGCGATATTCATTCTCCATTTTGCTTCTAAAATTCAATTCGGGAAGTTAACCATGCATCGTAGGAAAACGTGTGCTGCAGTAGCTCCGTATCACATACGTTTGATAGATGCTATAAATAGAGATTGATTTCAGATAGACATTTATAAAGGCATTGTAAGAATTTAAAGTTGAACTAATTAAGTGTAACCTGTCCTGACTGTCCACGGGAAAGCAAACGCCTTCAAAGAAAACGTACAAATATTGCAGGCCATGTTAAAAGCAAGAGCTTCCTTTTACGTTCTTGGAAAGGTAAAAGCATCAGAGGCAAGAGTTACAAATGACTAAGGACGTCACCAGCACTTGTCCACTGCCGGCCATATAGCGACGAAACCTCAGAGTGCATTTCACTTAATTAAGCAGTTTTAGCACTAGTGAAAATATATAGCGCAGTGCTAGTATAAAAACATGACGGGTTGTTGGATGCCTAGCAAAATTACGCTTCATACGATACAATAAAAGTAAGTAATAGTCCGTTAATTATGTAAAAGAAGAAAATTTAATTTTTCTTACGTTTAGTTTCCTTTCAGACCAGTAAAGCATGCCACCATTGTAGCCGCTAGATTCGGACTCACGATTGAAGCATATCATGACCAGTACGTTGTACGAGGATAGAAGGATGCTGGGAATATTGTTAACATCTATCTAAAAAGATGCTTTTTAAGATGCTACCTAAAAAGATGACGTTTTACCATGTTTATCAAGCCACACCCATACCACTATGTTAGAAAATTACTAAAGACCGATCCATGATACACGTATGGCCGTATGTTTATGTGACACTTGTAGGTCAAACATCAAACCCTTCTCTTCTTCAGTACTTTTTAGATAAGAAATGTTCGGCTGTTTTTTTTCGAAAACAAAAAAAGATAGAGTACCAAAAAAGCATCATATTCTCTATTAAAAAAAAACTAGTGAAGGGGGCAAGTAATGGCAATGCTGTAGATAGCTTTAGGACTCTAAGCAATATTACCGAAATTACTAATTCATTATTGAATGAATAAATAGAATCTCTTGAACATAGTTAAATATTAACTAGGAAGAACAACACTTTTTAAAACAGCGTACACTATATGATATTCAGTGAGTTTACAATATTTTGAGACAGACGTGGACTGTTGCACGTGGTGTATGGGACAAATAAAACCAGACTTAAATTTCAGTACCACTATGTAGGTGCTCCCTAGCGCCGCAGTTCTTAAAACAAGAAAAAAAAAAAAAGCTGCATTTATAAAAAACAATCCTTTTTTTACCCTTTTGTTTCTGACCACACTGAAAGCCATAAACCATAGTTATCGTTTTTAATGCATATCATCATTGAGAAATTTTTATATTCAAGATCGATTCGCGCCGTCCGATTCCACGTTACCTTCGAAGAATACATTTGCATTTAGAGTTGGCATTTACGCAAAATGAATAGTCTCCCGTACGACTTTCGGCTGCTTCATTAATGCTTTAATCTGTGGCTCCTTATAGAACAGCAGACGCTGCTTCTAGTTGTTATGTTTTCAGAAAAAAACTATTAGATACTAAAGGTATCTTTGAAAAGCAGGCTAATGTTTCTATTCTACATTATTAGTGAAATTATATCAACCATAATAAATAATTCTACTACACAGAATGAACACATAAAGCTCGTGTTGGCTTTTTTGATGACTTTCATTATTCTGTCTTATTTCCTTTTCATCCTTAGTCATCTGTTCTGGGTTGATTCGTGCTTGATAACATTTGCTATTTTTTTTATTGTCAGCATTTTTCCGACCGGCAGGGGCGAGTGTCTATGGGTTACTACTCAGTATGATCGCCAACAAGGCGTCGAGTAGCTATACCTTCTTCGAACGGAAGGAGCAACCGGTTTTCACCAGAGAGAGAAACATTGGCAGCTTGCATCCTCTTTTCAATTCTAGATCACTTGACCTTCTATGTTTTGCGTATCATTGCGCATGAGACCCGTACACAGGGGTGAGGTTTTAGGGAACGACAGAAAAAACAGTTTCCTTAGTCTAATAAACTGATTCGAAATCTTGGTGCGCAATTTTACAGGCAGTAATACAATCTGGGCACGATCTTCTCATTCTACTCCAACTTATGAGGCGCACTATCAAAGTTTACCTTAATACAATGGTACTTTCATTGAATCATTGGTTTATTAAAGATATATTAAACTTGAGGTTATACTACGTCGCACAGTGTGCGACACTTTGTTTCTCATACGGCGATGGCCGTATCTTGTAGCTATGATATCAGCTAACAATGGAACTTCTGCCATTCTCTAATCGAAATCCAAGGCTTTCAGCTGCAGGGAGTACCTTATTGCCACACCGCATTTCAATGAAGTATCGGGAGTACTTCGCTGTTAAAAAACGCTGTCATGAAACACTGACCACAACCTAGGCGAGTTCGCCTTCACTGCGATATGGTGTCGTCAACGTCGTCCAGTTGTCGAAGTAGCTGTTTGATACTAAAAATTCTCTCTTTGGTAACATCAGTAAGTCACAGCAAACAAGAAGCGCTTGACCAGTGAAGCGGCTTAGGCAAACCCTCCTCCATTTTTCATGTAACTCAACCTCCTGCCGGAACGTCAGTCTCAGCTACCCAAATCGTAACATAGATGTCTTAGTTTATAGTCCAGTAATAGTATTAGTATCAATAGATGCCTTCCGACCTCGGCCTTTGATCCATCTCAATTTTCAAGGCCTCGCTGACCTCCTCCCTCGTTTTGGAGCTCTTAGCTTATGTTATAGGGTTATTTCTACCGTGAGTGAGGAGCGTCGTGATTCTTCTCTTGTAGTGTATATCAATGCTATTGAACACGTCGTTCACTTTAGTCTATACAGCCTCCCTGTTTTTGCACGTTGCTACTCCATCCATCCATCCATCCATCTATCTCATTATTTGTGCATTGCCTTTTGTCTTATTATTACCACTGATATCATTCTCGTTATAGTTTTATAATTATTTATTATTAAATTAACTATTTTGACCTTTGGCGATTCTTTTCCTCGATGGTGCATTCTGCCTATTTACTGCTTTCTGTCGTATATTTAATATCGCCAGATGGAACCTACCATTGGTTGACCGCAACCACTGCTTTTATAATTTATAAGGATCAGTCATAATGACCTGAACAGGTTGGCCTGTGCGTCCTTTTGTTGTTGTTGTTGTTGTTGTCACGTGGCCGTTGTTACAATTGTTATTGTTCTTTTTCTTATTCAATCTCTACTAAATATGTTAACTTGAACATACCAAAACTGAAATAAGCTGCGTCGAAATCACCGCCATACTGTTGCTGCAATTTATAATAACAAATTCGCATTTTTCCCTACAAAAACCGCTGATAGGTCCCACTTCTTCTGGCATGTGTGGTAGTCGAACTATGCTACAGCAGAAAAAAATAACCAGTGAATACTGTCACTTTAGTTAATCTTGCAAGGTATAAGCTGTTGACTATGCAAAGTTGTCTCTGATCTTTGTTTGTCTCTTTTCTAAACGCGTTGGTCGATCTTCCTCTAGGTGGGCGTTGATTGCGCCCCCATATCGTCGGTCGGACTCGGTGGAATGGCACCGTATGCAGGTCAATGACCGCTTTTTTTTCACTCATTTCAATTTCTTTCATGTCACACTTACACACGTAAACATATTCGTATCATGTTTATATATATATATATATGCATATACATATATATATACAAACATATATACATATATATATATATATAATCACCGGACCTTAAAATTAATGGACGAGTTAAGAATACCTATATTAAGAATAATAAGTAGCCACAGCAAATAATACACGTAATTAATGTCAGTATACATTCTAAATGTCATTTCTAACAGTTGTATCATTCCTGTTGTTCTTAATAGCATCCTAATTGTTTCGTTAATGTCTAAAAAATAACATGCTTAGTAACTTGTGTGTAGAGGCTACTTATGCCGGGAAGCTGATACGTAATTTAACAAAAAGTCGCTCTGACGAAAGCAACAGTAAAGGTCGAATGCTACCAATTAATGGATACAAACAGTGTGATTTGATGAGCAGACGTTGCTTCGTGTCAAAAACCCTTTGGCAGGGAAAACAGGTCGATGCACCTAACCTATCAGTTTATAATAATAAAAGTAAATTCTTTGACGAAATAAAAAAATTCACACTAGACTTAAATAGCTACATAATAAGCTACTCGAACAGAGCGTGACATAAAAGTTCAACAAATCTCACCCGTAAATAAAACTAGACAAGAATCGTAATGTATGTGCCTATTATGTTGGCCATAATTAAGTTACTTCAAAATACATTTGTCGAGCTAGAAAGTAAGGAACTTCGACACTACGGCGCCATGTATGCGTATCTAATATCGAAATTGTCACACGTGTAATGTCTCATCAGGTAATTACGAGGAATTACGGTCAGAAATACAAGCAACGTCTATTTATGTTAATTTAATTAATTAGCTACTCTGAAGGCGTTCAGAGGTACAGACATGCCGCACTACAATCAAATCCTGTAAAAAAAAACGCAAACATATACTGCATCTACAAGAAAGCTGTAATTAATAGAACAATCTAACATTATCAAGGACAAATAGTCTATGCAGCAAATGATCAAAGAAGAATAGGTTATAATCATGAAATTCTGTTTGTTAAAATGTGTCAAGACGTTTGTTGTATCAAAGAGACAAACGCAATTTCGTCGTCTTACCGTCTAACGATTTATGTCGTCTTTTACCGGTCTGCAGCATATATATATATATATATATATATATATATATATATATATATATATATATATATATGCTTGCAAAATGACAAACGGATTGCTTTCCAATATAGTATTAAGGAGTAGTGTCAACAGCATTATTATTTTATAAGATATACACCTGCGAAGACGGTGTATGAGTACGTTTGGCAAGGACACAAGGTGATTCTACGTGTTGCTTGTTAGCGTCGCGCTATTAATCATTAAGGACACCGGTACCAATAAAAGTAGGCATAGGAAGGCTTGTTGTATGATGAACAAGGAACAAGAAGGCCAATAATCATCAGCTTTCACGAATCAGACGTTCCTTGTCGAAACTGGATACAAGGTGTGAAATTTTTCCTTACCTCTCACCTGTTGCTTAATGAAAGTGCTGCTTGGAAGTAAATTTCCAGTTTCCACTTTAGACTACAAAGTACCATACTTGTATACAGTCTAGCTTTCTCTATCTTAAACATAGCTAGCTGTCCAGACCTAGGTATAGTTTTCAGTCTCTCCCTATGTACAAACACTTGCCTTTGGCTTAGGTCAGCGTCGTCCATGCCGCCATGGTCCACACAGCGTCCTTAGCCTAGCTTCCAATCCACACTGGGTTATACTCGGTAGGGATATATAACTAAATGTTCGGTTCAGTACTTTATTCGTCGCCATTCATTACCGAACAACTGATACGTCGCTAAACGACTTCTCTTTCTGGGAAACGAGCAAGGCTCATAATGCGACGATATAGGCGAATGGAGGACACAAGAAAAGAGATTGCAGCTTTTATAGGTGGGTTAGGGTTTGTACTCCGCGTCGGTCCACCGCACGTTTTTTAATTGCAGTTGTCTAAAATCGTACATGTTGTTAGCTTTATTTTTATTAGTCATTTTTATTATAGACGCTTGCTTTCTATTTTCTAACAAATCCTATAGCGGTTTGGCACCTTCTAGAGGACGACCCCATCACACTTCGTCTTAGGTCAAACAAGTCATACAAGTTACTACCTCGCAGTTCGAAATTCGGTTACAATGGCTCGTCTTGTTCGAACAAAATTCTAAAACTGTTTTGCTGCTTTTTGGGTGTTCACACAGCGCGACTGCACCGTCCCTCCACTGTGCAACGCTATACGTTTATATATATGTAGATGTACGCCCGATCAGCTCAGAGTTCATTTGACACTTTCTGAAATAGAAACGAATAGCGATGCAACTATTTCGTAACTACCATGACTGAAAAACGGTAAGGACATCTTGCGTATCTATATGTTCCCACAGGGACAACTCCTTCAGAACGGTCTCACCCGATCGAGATTTTACAAATGAAACAGAATCTCTAAAATGATTGTGCTCCGGACGTTGTATTCGGATACAAGTTGTTCCAACGCACTCAACGATCGACACTCTGTAAATTTTAAATAGCTCGCCTTGTTGCTAAGTTTGCCTCGTATAGACCACTGATTTGCAAAGCCATACTTATACACAAAACGTCGAAATAACGTACTGGGTTACCGTATACACTCATTTATATATCCGAATTCTAAAATGGTATTAAAAATAAAAATAAACACGTACATAAAAATCCTTAGGCTCTGCGTACAGCACGAGGGCATTGGTTTCAGTGAACTCTCAAGGTTAGTACTATATATATATATATATATATATATATATATATATATATATACTATGAATTCTAAGTGTGTGGCTGCCGGAAGGATGTAAAGAGAACGCTTTACGGTAACTAAGTCACTTGTGCGCTTTAGCACACCAACAGTAAGACCATTTGGGAGGACATTAGCCATGTTCGTTATTAGTAGAATTTTTACTAGGTTATAATTCATGATCGTTGTTTTCATTGATGTGTTCATCTAACGCGTGATAAATAGCTTATGTTTGTTTGCCTTGAAATTTACGCATGTCGCCCACCGGCAGCTGCTGGCGGAGTCGCCTGAGGTGGAGCGGGGGCGGGTCCACCACCGCTGGCATTCTTCATTGTCACGAAGACGCTCTGGAAGTTTTTGATTTCACCTTCGAACGTGTCGTGCGAAGCGGCAGATACAATTGTGCTCGCGTTTACGGGGGCAGTGTGGGCGGTTGAAGTGGCTGCAGCTATCGGAGTGACGATGACGCCCGCGCCAGCCGTAAGATGAGCCGGCTTTCGCAGTATGGCTGGCTTGTTAGGCGGGACAGGCGGCGGCGCAGGTCGACCAGTTGCCCTTGATTCATCACCTTAAAAAACGTGACGTAAAAAGAGTTTGTTGAGGAAACCTCGGTTGGCTCGCAGACCGTAATGACCAATGGATACAGTCAGTCCACCTATATATAATCAGTTGATGAGGGCGAAAGCGTAACTAGGCAGTTAGCTATATCATTAAATTTTCCTTCGAACCTTTTTCGAAAATTTTCCTTCGCGACGAACTAAACAAGCGTAAACAGCCAGGTCAAAATTTTCTCTGGGGAATATCAAAAAGATCAACAAATGAGTAAACATATACGCTGCTCACCTGATCTAGCAGCAATAGCCGATGCAGGTACTCCAGATGGGGTAGGAAATCCCGCCGGCGCATGGGCGACTGCTCGTTGCGCCAGGACAGCTGGAGCAATAGCTGGGGCTGCGGATGAGTGATGCGCCGGGCCTGGTGCAGGACCACTAATCAGCTGGCTCCGTACACCGCCTCCTGTAGCGCGCTCGAGATCGGCTCGTAGCCGTTCAATTTCCGCTTTCTGTCGTGCATTCTCTTCACGAAGCGCGTCTACCTCTTGGCGGCATTGCGCTCGATAGGCAGCATGCTGTCGGCCAACAGCTTCAGCTTGCTCTTCAAGCAATAGACTGCGTTTGCTCTCCTCTTCCAGTCCGTCGACAATTTCAGCGTTGCGTGCCTTCTCTTCACGTAATGCGCGCAGCAGCTCAACGCAATTCTGTCTGGCGGTGTCCAGCTTCGCTACGAGCCGATGTCGTTCAGCTAGCAAAAGGAGTACCATTTGCTTTTCGCGTTCCCGTACGCGGCCAAGAACGGCGCTAGCTGACGTTTCTAAAAATCGATGAGTAGATGAATTAGAAGAAGGAATGAATAGCAATATAGTACGAGCGAATTATAGATGAATGCTAAGTAAGTAGACAGATGTTACAACAATACCTACGTGTGCTTTTTGCATGATCTGTTCGCCATAGTTTGCGTATGAAACAACCGACCGCGGTAATCGATGGGTGAAGACTATGCCCGATCATCAGTGGGGCAAATAACCCCAAGCGGCTCAAAGCGAGAATGGCACTTATGTATGCCACATTAACGTTGCGAGGAAAAATCATCAAAAAAAGTGTAACCGTAATAATATTTCAATACGTAGCAAATAATTGAACAAGAGCCGACCTGTGTCGGTACGTGTAAATTCTCAGTAGAAAAGTATCACGTACGGTGTTTGTCCAATTAATACATGATACAATTTTCCGAGTAGTCAAGGAAAAATATATTCTATTTTATATACATATTTTTGATATATCCGGGTTTCACTTATAAAACTGCAAGGAATGTAATTAGATCAATGCTCTGCCATCATTGAGACTACTAATGGCAATCAACGCTAAAGAAGAAAAAAACTAACCAGCCTCGAAGAGGCGTTGAGCCTCTTCTTTCGCTTCTTCCTTCGGTTCTCGACTCGGAAGCTGGTCGTGAATGAAGCCGGCTCCGAGGATCGAACCTGCTCCTTGGCACTGGCAACCTCCACAACAACGCTCTTTGACCTTTGTAAGTAGCTCATTGTTTTGAGAGATCATATTCTCCAATAGCTTTGCCTGTACCTGTAAAGTCAGGAACATATACGTACACACAGACAGGACAATTGAAACAAAGGCGAAAAACCAAGAAATCAAAACAAATGCACACATGAAAACAGCCAACATTTCACGCTCAGGGAACCTCGCCATATTCCTCTGCAGTATTTCTAATTTATGAAGGTGCATATGGCGATGTGTACTTCAGTTTTTGCTAGTAACTGTCGTTCAACACTGAAGCAAACATGGGCTTTAAGTTTAAGAAGTGGGCTTTAATTTGTGCAGCTACATCTCCATCACGGGGCAAAAATTGTTTAGATCTATGCTTTGTTACCCACCTCTTGCAGGCTGTGAATAGCATTCACATCAATTCGATGGTTAATTGAGGCCGGAGACGGGAACGATGTCGCAGCTGTTGTCGACGCTATGGTTGTTGTTATAGAGGAGGCAGATGTTGTTGTCGCTGGCGACAAATTCATGACATCTTGACTTGTCCCACTGGGCGCGGAATCGAGGGAAGATTGTTGTTGTTGTTGTTGTTGTTTATTATTGCTTGTTGTCGTGGGGGGCGCTGTCGTGGGTGAAAGCGATGAGGCTGATCTCGCTAACACTGGAGTTCCGCATGTTGTTGCCACTGCCGAAGGAGCTGTTGATGGTAAGTTACCTTCACCACCATGACCATTGTGATGGGCCGCGACGCTATTACAGTGGTGCTGAGAGGCAGGCGTCGAAGATGGAGGGAAGTTCTCTGTTGCAGCGAGAGCGTCCTGCCATAGCTGGGTGAGCGGGTTTCGCGGTCCTGGTCGAGCCAACCGGGGTCCAACAGGATAGACGAGCTGCTTGATACGCTCGCTTTTAAGCACGGCTATCACGACCTCGCGAGCTTGCAGTTCTCCTGCAGACAGTAACCAATAGCGAATAGTCTATATTTGATCAACAATCAATGTTCATCCACTCGATGTTGTCGAAATACTGCACACTTAGTATACATGATGGAACGCATATTTTCATTACAGATTAGTAACTAGCAGAATCTTTTCCCAAGCAGTTAAAGATAACAGGGGCGTCTTGCTTAAATATGTACGCTGCTTCGAAGTAGTTGCGAGTAAATTCATCTCTGCATTATAAATGTAATAAATCATAGCATAAAGGGGACAGTAGAAAGCCGATTTATATACAATATCCAACTCGTAATCCAGAAATGTATTATCCAGAGTCCGAACCTCAACTTTGTCGTACTTATTATCACAAAATCGTAATGCCACCTCATTTGATTAATCACTAAATTTAATTTATAGTGACTAGAAATATCACCGAAGATGTAAAAGTTACAAAAATGCAGTCTCATTTGAGACTGTACAACAAACAGTGATAATTCAGACTTCCTGAGACTGTCACCTTGAGTTTCTGTGAAGACAAAATAGTTGGCCCCATCGTGTGCCGTACGTGGACGTGGCTACAGTTGAACAAGCGCACACTTTTTTCTAGCTAATATCGCAGGAATTACCATATAATATTAACTATGCCAATGCACAGGGTTGGTATTCACGTGATCAATAGCACCACACAAGATACCGTACAAGCACGTCTGTGATTTTCGACCAAGTTTAGAAGAATGTCTACGGTAGACGACAGAGAATATTGTCCTCTTCACCGAGGTTTCTTTGTACAGGTAATTTATTTGGTGCGTCAAGCTAAAGATCTCACTTCATATTAAGAAATGCTGACTCTTTCTGATAGAGCAATTTTATTGGCTTTGTAATAGTGCCATTGTATTTATTTTGGACCTTTATTAAGGTTTTTTGTTCATACGTGAAGGTTAGACTCAAAGCTTGTCTTTCCGTACAGCAGAATGGGGCTTGCACAATGCTAGTAACAAGAGTTCCCAGCCACCATAGAAGTATAAGACATTTTCGGCTTTGCGGTAGTATATTTGAAATATACTAAATCAGAAGACGCGTTCGAAAATTGTAAAAGAAACTATGATCGAATACCAGTTAGTTCGGGCAAATGTATACTGGGATCAATTTTAATCAGATGTAGATTTATTTATTTACGCATGCATCTAGATGTAATTTTTTCGCGGTAGTATTTTTTTTTTACTTACATTGGCCTTTACTCGTCTAAATGTACGTTAAAAAGTACAGAATAACTTTGAATCATTATATCATTTAGAGACAGCATAACGCCGTTCGCGCTTCGTGGTTTGCGTTCTGTTCTATCAAAGAAAAACAACAAACACAAGCATCGGTTTAATTACAGTAATAATTAAACTAGGTAAATGCATCGAAGGTACCCATTGGCCATAACGTGCCGACATCGGAAAGGAACCACTTCTCTAGTTGTTTCAATAGAAAACAGGATTCCTTACCATCTATTCGTAATCCCTTCTAAACACGGTGGACGAACTGTGTTATGCCGTCCAGCCATAAAAAGAAAAATGATACACTTAAAGAGTCTACTGAAACGAGATCCTACAGAAGACAGGCGTTGCTAGCGTACTAGTACTATTTCGAAGTAACCGTATTCGAAGTTTTTCGAAGCTGTCGAATCGCGTTAAGACGTTCGAAGATGCGCTTCATAGCCGACCTGCGCCAACCACATGTTCCGAGTTCAAACGTCCACAATCTCTTCATCTAAACAAACCTGCCTAGCCTCGATGTATACATTAGGACCTTCGGATACGAATGTTGTGCATCTGTTATAGTAATGACTACGCAAAGCCTAGCCGCAAACGGACATATTCGAGCTAAATAAAATTTAAAACGTTCTTCTTTATTTAGTCAATTGATTCTGTAATAATTTTTTTCTTTTTACATCGCACGAATTATACTTTGGCAGAGGCTCCCTTTTGGTGCAGAGTTCTCTGTTTTACAAGAAAAGCTAGATTTTCAAAAAAGCAAGGGCGACACATCAAACACTTTGTAACGCAAAAATATGTCTTAAATCTAGCCGTCTGGATTAGTAGAAAATATTAGCAAAATTATTATTACGTTTTTCGTTTCGTTATAGAAAAGGAAAGATCCTTTTTCAGCTTGTATCTCATGCATGATCTTATTGTATGTATTTTCATTCATGCTACAATGTTATTTTATCCCATAGAGCGTTTGTCGATTTTGATCAGCACAAAAAGTTTGTTTATTTATTTATTGCAACGTTTTTTTTATGGCCAAAGTAAAATCCGAATGGCCGCAAAATCGTCCTGCGGGCATAAACTTGTCCGACTTCATAGAAATCATAAATGCAGGGGAAACTTTTGTGCGGATAGCTCTATACTACTTATTTTGAATGGTTGCCCTGGGATTATCCATCTGACCTGTCATTATTGGTTAAGGTTTTTGAGCGTAATTTAAAGGGGGCCACGCTGATGCCTGAGATCTTTCAATTTTTAAATCCTTAGCTATAAAACCGCGTTTTAAGCACACACAAACAAGAAAAAACACATATGCTGCGAGTGCTTTTGTTATCCATAGTAATTCATAAAAATTGTATCTACAATAAGCTGCTCATAGACGTTGTGCTGCATAAAAAAAACAGCTTTTTGTAACGACTACGTAAATCAACGTTACTTTTGGAGTTGCTGCACCGCAGAAGGATACCGTTTCTCATCTTTGTTTAGAAGGGCCGAAACAACGTCAATTACCCGCGTTTACCGCTCTAACGTTCATCTTTCGACGAATCAATAGAGCCTCTCCACATACTAATTTTCAATAAAACCTTAAATCAACTGATTATAGATTTCTACGGAATTTTTTTTTACCTATGCAAAGTACTGTTCTGCATCGTAGTATTTATTGCTGAAGTAAATTTCTTGTTAACCTTGTCCTACATTCCAGTTATTTTATATAAAAAAAAAAAAACAAATATTATATCATTAGCTGTTACTAGTTATTATTATAATCATATTTATTTATAACATACCTTCTAGAACGCCGAGCAATTTAATGAGATCGTTTCGGTCGAGACTGACTCCGTGGTGAACCGATGTCGCTTTGACGGTATTCGGGCCGCCGACCGCTACATTACAGTTACTGTTATTGTTATTATTGTTGTTGTTGTTATTGTTGCTACTGCTACTGCTGCTGCTGCTGCTGCTGGTGTTGTTGTTGTTGGTGGTGGTTTTGCTCTGGGGAGCGCCTGATCCCACACAGCTTCCCGGCGACGGAAAACTCATCTAAATATATAGGCATGATAAAAGATAAGAACATGAGATGGAAGCGAAGCGCACCGAATAAGGGAAAATTATAGAAGTACGATATTTTTCGCATACCTTATTACCCTGATTATAGGTTAGTTTTGAATAGAAAAAATCCTAATGGCTTTGATTTCACCAACAAAACTTTATAGAAAAAAACTATAGCATCAATGTTTCATTGTGGTAGCAACCTGTCACCACGTGTAATGCTCTAGCAAAATTTTTCGGAATAAAACATAAGCACTAATATATAAGGTGCCAAAAATACAAACTCTCTGAAAATGTGGACTAGCTCTTACCAAAAGACCATAAAATGCTATAAACGTATAAAATTAGGTTCCGTGGAATCGGTGTGGGTTCGCGCTGGTTCGGAGGAACAGGCATATCATACTGTTAGACAAGTTCGAATGAGAATTTTGCGGTGTTACCCAAAGTAAACCTATTGACTGTTTACGTATGACATTATGGATAGACAATGGACCAGCAGACTCTTTGCTTACAGACTGACTTCCGTTTTATCCTTTATATTGAATTTATTCTGGATTTGGATTTAGCGGCATGCAGTGCCTAAGTAAGCTGGATTTTCTATGATGCGGTCTGGACAGCGTAACTCTGCTTACTTGATAGGGATGCTGTCATCTGCCGTTGACTTCACGATGCATTTGTCTTCTGTGCCTGCATACATTAGACAACATAGGACGTGTAATCTAGGCACGCTGACTTACAACTTAAACTGAAGTTATAATAAGAATCTTTGCAGATCGTATGAATGAAACGATTGTTTAAGCTGTAATAGCGTTTATGGTCAGGTGTAATTAATATTATCAAACGCTTATAGAATCATTGATTTAATGCCATATAGTACAATTGTCCAGAAGCTCTCTTGAGCGATTCTTTATAGAGATACGTAGCATCGTTACTTCATTGCAAATGGACGCGTTCTACAGTCTATGAAGACGATGATGAACAAAAATTGGTGTTAACTTTATTTATGACCGTGTCATCACATGTTACGAGGCTGACGAATTTGATTATCGAAATAATAGAAATTAAATCTTATTCGAGCGAATAAAGCCCTTCAATGAACCTACTGTCTAAAACTAGCATCATCGATTATTCCGTGGGGCAAATTAAGGCATTAGGAGAACGCACAGCGCTAAATTACATTTTCGACATCATCTGCATAAGGCGACCGTGGCGTATGAGAACGTAATACGCCGCTCGTCTGTTCAGACTCCCTGATGCTGCGTTTTAAATCAAGCAGAATAGACAGTGGTATCAGAAAAGATTTAGAAACGAAGCTGGCACTTATTGGCTAAAAACCACTTGTTAACTTACAGTCAAGAGCGAACGGGCAATGTTACCTCGTACTACACATGAAATAATCTTAAAAAAAACGCTACCATTTGCTTATACTGCTAACGCTTTGCTATATAGTTTCTGTATCTATTTATAGGGATCGTATGATTCAACTCCGACAATAATCGGCCACGGACGGAAACGCAGCGCCCGACGTGACCGAGATCTGAACTTTGATAGGAGTTCTCCGCCAGTGAGAGTGGCCATCCTGGACAAAGCGGCCCATGTTACGAATTCTTAAAAACATTCAAAAATAAAAGACGACCGTACTGTAAAATTACCATGATCCTGCGTCATGTAGCTTGTTGGTCAAAGTGATCAATTAGTGATAGATAAAAGTCTTTTTACATGGCCGATTCATCCACATCGAACATTGCTTATGAGTAATTCAACCATGTTATCAATAAAGGCTCTCCTGGGGAGAGCATTCACACGAGAATGCAATAGGAATTATGTACAGGATTGTACTTGCGACATCTCAAGATACGCAACAATCGGAAGCGCACCAATCGTTGCAGAACATCACCTGTCCCGCATGTATGCAACCATTTACATCCCAGAAGACAATAAGGTTCTTTTGACATGGCAGAGTCGAACGAACACATGAGATCATTATACATGTACAGCGTAATGTCGTATGTGTTTGTATATTTTTATGTACTATACCATATGGTCTAGGATGGGAGTATAGTCCTTTTTATTATGCTTTAAGAAAATATAAACATCCATGTCTATGGATCGATCGATCAGTTCCAGCATTTCGGTAACAATCATACCTGATAGAAACAGACCAGTTACCAGGTACGGAAGCTGATTTTTACCAGTTTATTGGTCGTATTGAATACTTTCCACCATCGTAACAAGGAAAGGTAGACAAGCCAACGAAGAAAAAATAAACACGTTTTTCATTTTGTTATAATATGCCACAAGGACCCAAGTAGAATCCTCATAAACAGCAGCTCGCAATTGGTGCTGCTGACGGTACATACAATATGAGGGCTGAGAGCACTTATAGTCGATTAACTTAAGCATAAAGACGTATATTGATGAAGCTGTGTACTTAGCCATCTGGAAAGTATTCCTCTGGCCTGGTTTCAAAGAAGTCACAATAACAAATTGGACTTCAAGAGCCTATAACAATATGGAATATAGACCTGGCTCAATTGCCAAACGCGGTCTCCAAAGGTGCCTAGTTATCGCATGTATTGTACAACTTTGTTATTTCGACGCCTATTTTCATGTTCATGGTGATGATAACTGTTAGTGTTTATAATTCAAAACTATCAGTATATAGATTTACTTGCAATAGATGTAAGCAAATATGTATTTGGCAGAAAATACAACGGGGTGCATACAACGCGCGAGAGGATTGCGTGGAAATCCGAAAGAATGAACGAGAATAACACACCCACCGCTTGCATCCAGCCCCCCGTCCCTTGTCTAGAGAATAATAGGTCGAATAAAATATTTCAAAACAAAATAGGCCGTCTTTTGATTAAACGCGATTTTGATCCCTAAACATAACTTTTGCAAAGCTTCCATAAGTTCCGTAACAAAAAAATTGTCGCAGGCTCTTTGTCCCGTTATCTACCTTGGACATTGTTGCACCTCAGTCTAGATTTCTGGATTTCGATCCTCCAGTCTCCATAATCTGGCTGGATATTTTAACACGCTTAAGAAAAGCTGATGTATATACTTAACGACACGAAGTTTTCATGCCTTCATCGCTACTTAAGGGTACCCAATAATCTAGGGGACAAAAATAGGAGCTCGCGTATAGATAAATGCGTGAACACCAGCAGATGCCTGTCTGTAACTAACAATGACAACAAAAAGCTCAACATCCTATTTCTAGCAGTAGCAGTTGCTCTAAGAATATTTCAACATTGTTAACTTTGACTTGGCTACCCTTTATATATTACAAATCCATCAATAAGTCGGTATACCCATATAGAGTATTTCGTCTGGTGACAGTCAATCTCCTTCGCTCTATATATATGAGTGCTGTAATGCCTGCAGTCTAAGCGGCACTCACTCAGGCGTTCCTATATACTATATATAAGCTTTGCATAGTTTGCTTCGGTTTCTTCTATAAAAGGTTTCCTTCCATCACTGCCTCTATATGATACTATACCGAAATGGAAACGAATACCTGTACGTCTACTACGAAAACGGCTTTGAAGTGAAACAATTACCCTGTTCGGTCAGACTTACGCTGCCGAATGTTAAGACCTTAAAAATGGATACAGCAGACGAAACGCAGTAAAAGGCATCGGATGGATGCAATAAGACCTGTCTGTTCATCTACAAAAAACAAAAAATACATAAACTGTGTCAGTAGCCCTATCTGCGATGCAGCTAGCATTGAACTAACCTTCAGAGCTAAAGCTAAACTAGCCAGGCTATAACCACACGTGGATTGGAAATTAACTATAGACACACAACGCAAACTTACACCGAAATTGATTACAACTTCCCCTCGAGTGAAGTAATTTCGCTGACATCATAGTAGGCGCTTGTACACGCAGTAACTTAATAGTTCCAGGTGTGTGTGTACAAGGTTTATTCAGAAATAGAAAAAAACGCTATCGCAATAGCCAATTTTACCTCCACGATATTATTCCGACAACTCAAAGATGCATAACTAGACGGGATAGTGGAGTTACAATTGGATGCAATGACTCTACGTTTTTTTTTAGGTTGGAATGATTTTCGTTGGGAATAAGTTTGTTGCAAAGAAGACTTTTAATTGTCCTGTTCTGACTAGAATAACCAGTCTACGGTTTATCTGTTCTCACCAAAACATTTGTTGACTCACATTGTCATCGTATTTTTTATATTCCAAAAGTAAAAAGTGACTTGTCTGAAATACGTTTTTGCTCTATCGATTTTGCCTTTAGCCAACGTATTCTCTTTGCTTGGAACTATCTGAGATCTTCGCCACTTTACTCATAAAAAAATGTCGTGTTAATTAGGTTATCATTAGCAGCAGATATAGTAATTGCATTATTAGAAATACGTAAGAAAAAACTATTGAAGCTTACAGGGATTACTTAAAATGAGAACGGTCAAGGCGACTGCTACCAATAAATAGCTAAGTTCTTACATATATATATATATATATATAATATGCATCCATTGAGACGAGAAAGTGTCACCGGAACCCACAATGCATGGCACGTATTTGCAAAATAGAAGTTGGTGATCACTTTGAATCTTTTGAGAGATCGTTGATGATGTCAGGAACCGGTGGATAGAGCGAAAACGAGACATAATAAAACAAACCATAATTTTTCGGACACACGTACCCTCTGATGATTTTTTTTTAAAACACTGAAATAAGTTCTCTTGCAAATTTTTTGGTCTTCGCATTTTGTCAAGACTATAATGCATGGTCAAGATGCCTCTCGGAAGCGTCTGCTATTTTTACATTCCAAATGAATTTAACGGTTTATGTGATACCAACATTTCTAAGCCCATCCCCCGTTTCTATTTTCTAACTCCCTAGAAATGTTTTTCCTACTGGACTGAAAATGTAGCTTTTCATAAAACGGAACGATGCAGGGATAGTATTAACGATCTGCGGCCTGATGCTCATAGTTGTAATTCAAGAGACTACCTGAAAAGGAAGATATGCCGCTTAGGTTTGCCTTAGCTTTTGAAGGGTCTCTTCAAAAGACCGTCGATTGTAGTGGCTTTCTGATACCCAATATTGTTCGATAGGGTTCTTGCTTCCTGGGATTAAGCACATATAATGAATTTAAAATAGGCGCTCTATTGTATATAAAGCTAAAATAGCCATTTATATTTCATTTTAATAGCTAATTCTAGCTTTCTAATATATAATATGTTTACATACTCCGCGTAGTGCACTTTGATAGATGACGGAAATCGGGAAAGAATTAACAGTACAAAAGCAGTTGCTCGAAATTGTCCTGGGCACTGATTATGTTAGATAATAGTTTGAAGCTGTCGTCAAGGTTAAATCCGAGATGACACGTGTCATTTCCTGACTCTAATAAAATAGTTCAGGGACAATTAGATACATTATCTGTAACCTAGATAACGGACCGGTAGAGATGATTTTGTGTTTATAGTATTAGGAATATAAGCTCGAAGACGAAGGTGATTAGGACTTTTGGCACGGCATCGTTTCCCTAGGTTAGTTGTAAGAAAATGAGCATTTTTAGTTCTTGCGACACCCTAAAATTTATAGTCGTGCTAATTATAATCTGAACTGTTTCTCCCTGTAGCACTATGGCCAGGTTATTTTCGCATTGAATATCAACATAACACACATATACTTGGCTCTAATAAGGGTAGACCTTCTCAAAAAGCTTCAAATTGTAAAGATTTCATATAATACTGCATACATCAACATTCAGTATTTGAGAAAGGAGTCTGACATCTATATGGACTATACCTTACAAAAGGAGATAAAGAATCCTATAGTTGATAATATATTTTACCGGTGTCATCAATGGAACGACATTGCATTGCAATGAACAACATTTTTCACGCTAGCGGGGGTCGATAACATGATTAGTACAATCCTCTGTTCCATAATGGTACGCTTTCCGTCCTGTGAATACCATGGTAGGTATACATTCACATGGCATACAGAGGATAATATATGACTGCTGAATTGAAAGCCTTATCCGGCGTGTGTTACGTCAGTTTCAAAGGCAGACGACTGCCATGTTTGCGATCATAGACACAGCTGCTGTAGCTGATATTTAAAAACTGACAGATCGTGTCGTGTACCGAAGGAAATCTGAAAAAGAAAATAAAACAAGATGCCATCCTGTTGTCCGCATTCGAAGACCAGAAACCGATGCTGTGACCAGATAAACTCTACGTATGCTGAAGACGAGTTCCCAAGGTCCGCCCACCTCACCAGAACTGGTAGTGATTACACCAAAATTCTGAAATATGTATCCGATCCAGATATCCAATGCGTATTCAGAGAGCATTTTTTTTTTCAGGATTCATGTCGCTCCAGAGATCCTCGCTAGTAAGTTAATCGACGACGCCGTGCATAGAATATTGTGTTTCCATCGCTATTTTATTCGTATACTGCCAAGAACTCAAGGCCTATCCTTACGACTATTACAATACCAGCCGGCTAAAGCTATTGTCATTTATCGAGCTGCCTCAGGAGGGCGATGGCCGCGGTAGTAACATGTTTGCCTACTGAAGACACGTGAGGTAGTTAAGGTACACAACACATTCTGTTTCCTACTGGTGGGGGCTAACCGCCTACATTAACACCTAAATAAGGCAGTAGCACCGGGCAAAAACTCAAGACATTGATTCCGGTGAAAGCCGGTTGCCAGATAAAGCGGCCTGTTGAATCCGCCGCAACGCTAGTCTCTGGGTTACATTGTTGTGTACGCTTTTGAACAAAGTTTTTGTACTAATGGAAATGACCATATAGTCAGGCTAGCTTTAATCTTATTGATTTTGTTCTGGCATCATGTGCTTCCCGCAGGCTACCTGACAGAACACCTCGTCTAACAACAGAACGTACTTCTTGTGAACGTTATTAACTCAGCTGGCCAATGGATTAATTCCATTTGGGCATTATACATGGGTTTATGTATAACAAAGCAGTCTTAAAAGGGGCTAATGTAGGCACACCATTCAGAGACGTTCAATTTATAGGTACCTGTTATTATTATTATAAGGGCGACCACACTCGGCAGAAAATGATGAAAACCCCAAGCGGTTTCTATACTTACACGGTTCTCTATCTCTGGTCTTATTTGAATACGAAGACGCAGCCTTAGAATCGACGAAGCGCTCAGAATCTCAGTTTATATCCAGCACTTTCGAACGACCACGTTTAGGTCTACAAAATTGGTTAAGTTACACAGCTCTAGCTAAAAACCATCTGCTATACGGAAAAAGAGCATGTTCAACCCTGAGCCGCTATATGTCTGTGGCGGTACGTTACGGCCCCAAAGTGTCATGAGCACATTTTTATCTCAGTAAATCTGTCTTTTTTCTTGTCATCTACCCAATTTAGAGCTGCTTCCGATCATCTCTTTCGCTTCTTCGTCGTTAGGGCCGTTAGGCACTGCACCGTTTAATTAAGATTGACCGTTCCTCTTCGTTTTTAGTTGCTTGAAACCTTTGTAATATATTCAGCGCGTATGGCTAAGGTTAAATGTGTAATAGCTACCCCACTCAACTAACCACACTCACAACAAGCGATGGTGTATGGGGCAAAAGAATAACTCGGACTAAAAAAACGGTTCAGTAGAAAAGTTTTCCTAACGCAGTCACCCCCTGGGGGGCAAATGAAGATGGCGGTACACTTCACACAGCGATTTGTAGTTTCAGTTATATAAAACGTCGTGTCAATGGTTACTGGTACACTTTCCTGGCAATACGTCAGCCGGCACGCCTTACCGACCCACTCGGGACTCGCTACCGTCGTGCAATTAATTAATCAGCGGCGATTGTCCTTCTGTGTATATTATACATATATACTGCAAGTAGATATTCATAGATAAATCTGTTTATTATATATCACGAATAACATTAAACGCATATGTTTTAACTTAGACAGGCCGCGAAGGCAGAGTTAGAAGCGGCAATTTACGTAAACCGATTATCTATTCGTGTGCCATCGAATGCTTTTTCGTTGTCATGTTTACACATCGCAGTGTACACCACAATAGGAGAACATTTAGTGGAAATTATGTCCGCGAAAATGATGACAGATGGGCATGTATGTGTGTGTGTGTGCGTGTGTGTGTGTGTGTGTGCGTGTGTGTGTGTGTGTGTGTGTGTGTGTGCCTGTGTGTACATATGTGTATTTCATTAACATAGCAAAAGATTCTACATTTCGACAGATAGCATTATACGTACAGTTTTATAAACCGAATCGACCAGCGATAATGGTATGATCCAATATTTTAATTACTGATAACTTACTGATAACAACAAGCAAATGATGTTACCTTTCTTTTTTCGAACATGCTCTCAGAATAATAATAATAACTAACTAACTCTTTTGTGTAAACTTAGATCGACCACAGAGAACGCGGACTGGCTCAGTTGAGTCCAATTGTTAGCTGACGCTTAGTGGTTCGATTTTTCGAAATAGTTCTTAGTTCTAGTTCAGATCGATAAGTGGGAATGGTATTACATTAATCGTTCGGTATATTCCTCCTCGTTACGTCAGTGCCTATTGCAAACGACTAGAGGTTTTAGCCCCCTATAACAATTTCGCATTTAGATAATAATCAATTAATAGAATGTTCTAGGCAACCGTCAGATAACGTTGTTAGGGGGGGGTGAAGATGGGCTTCGAAGCGGGTTTCGCCTGCAGATTCAAATGTATATGTTTTTCCTCATTGCTGACTTATTTAGATAGAGTTGAAATGAAAGCGTTGCATACTATTGTTCCTCTAGAGGTATATTACGATCGCATGTCGGCAGTAAACACCACCTACGTAAAAGTACAAATCATTCTTTCAATCAACTAAGATAAAGAGAAAATTTCTATTTTCTAATAGTATGCCAATGGTTATTTTCCGTGGGACGAACTGATTCTGGGAAATACCGAGAGATGTACGAGGCTTCCATTCCTACACGAAGAGTATTTATAAATTCTGTCGCATTGAGAATTGGAATGACCTTTAATTTTTGGAGACCTTCTGAAAACGACTGAAGAATTAATCAACCGTAGAGCTGCATATATAAATTACCACTTCTGGGATCAGGCATTGTGTGTATACAGGCTTTTGAGCTATTGACCTACCTGGAATTTTCACACCGTTTGTTATAGGTGTTCCTTGTAAGGCATTCACAATAATTTCGTTCACGCTGTAAATGGTTCAAGATCAAAGGTTTAATATTGCAAATTAGAAATTCCTTTAATCGTCTCAGTCGCTACATCACGCTACTCATAAAGGTGACTTAGAAATGTCGTTGCATACGTAAAGATTACGGTACGGGCGTTCCACCACAGCAGCTTTAGATCTATGCATGGCCGGCTGATAATAGGACAACACAGCGTATTATTCGTTTCCGCAATAAAAAACGTGGCTTCGAATGGCACCAGTATAAGCGTCCTTTCTGTCCGTTTATCTATCAATGCTTCAGCTCAATGGTTCGAATGAGCTATCTGTTACCGATTTGGTTTAAACTAACTGGTTAGAGAAAAATTCAAGTAGAAAATTCGTCAAACAGCTGTCCACAGCGTCTATCCTCCTGGTTAGCCAATTAGGGTATACAGATTTCCTATCGTTGGTATCTTCGCACCCACATACATATGCATATTACACGCACCTATGTAACCAAGTACTGTTATCCTACGTCTATGACTTTAGAAACGTCAGTAACGCATGTAAGCGCAGAAATTGCACACAAAAAGCATTAGTTAGACAAAGACGATAGGTAAACATTCGTATCTACTTGTTTCATGAAGATCTTATTTACTTGAAACACTCAAAACGATCTCATCCGGAAAATTTTGCCATTGAAAATTAAAATTACTCAGTTCTACATTTTCGCACATTCAAATCGAAATAGGTGTAAACCCGAAACGTGCCGGAAACATCAAAATGACTGATTTTTCAATTGGAAGCAACGTAACACATTTAACCTTCAGCTGTCGCTTTAGATACTGTTCTCAGCCTACGCGATCAAGTAGACAAACACATAATTGATTTAAATCATATGTTTTCCTTGTTCTGTTTCGAAACATATATATAAGCCATGACCTATAGACCATAGGTTAATGAATTACTATACATAAATAGAAGCATCAGCATTGTGGCCATTGGATGCGTCGATAGTTCACAGACACACGTCATCTTTGCGATGAGCATACGCTAAACCTAAAAAACTTAACACGCAGTTTGTACGCACGAGATATTCGAAGCGACAAAGAAACATTGTAGTGCTTATAATCTAAAAACATCGAGTACAAAAAACAAAGTTAAATTTTGCTTTCCAAAATCTTTTCGAAGTTGGGTATTAAACGCGTTTATTCGAGTGTCCAACCTTTCTACGTATGTACATCTCCACAGGCATTTTCGATTGCAATTGAAGCTCCTCTGAACATGTTCTTTCAAACTATCATATTTGCTTGGACATGTAGAAGGCTCTTTTGCATCCTACATGCGGTGCTCGGCCCGTTAGACAAATCCTCAGACAGCTAAGTTTCAACACGATATGAACGGACTGTATGTTCGGATTCGAGTCTACATTATTACGTGTCCCTAAATTATACAGGCAAAATGCGTTATTTACTGCGCTATCGCACGGACGACGACGGAGACATCTAATACCTATCCATCCTCACCAATTCGAAATCACTTAACCAATAAATTTATCACCATCAATCGTTGTCACCTGTATCGTCGTGTGCATTGATGATACAAGGGTCTACTTTTACAACTAGCTGCCTTCTCCACGTCAACACTTGCCAATGAATTGACCAGCGGCGCCCGCGCACAGGCACAATAGGGAACTTCAATCACATCACGCAAAGACCTGCCCTGTGTTGCGCATGGCCTGCTAGCTTTTATCGCCCTTATAGAGGCCAAGAAACCACACGCGATGAAACCATGCACTAGCTAGCTAATCGTTTATCCCTATTCCTATGCGAGAAGATCGTTCTTATTATTACAGCAGAAGACAAAGGTGCATTGTATCTGCATAAGACACACAAGGAAGGAGTGGTTTTTAGGAAGGTAAAGGTAATGGTCCGCAAAACATCTGTCCTTTTCTGCTTTCCTACGGCTAGTTGACACTCACCGTGAAGTCGTCTTTGTTGTCAATTTGTATTCCGTTTTTTCTGAAAAGACGAAGCGCAATGATGTAGTCGGACGTTGCAAATTAAAGTAGATGGGAGCCTTGTGAAGCACATTTTTTTAACTATTCGAACAACGGTGCAGTTTGATTACGAGGCCAATAAAAATATGGATTACAAGAGTACGGATACTACATGAGAACCCACGTTTTATTGCCTTACCTCAGCTTCTGAATCTTCTGGGCATCAGAATCGTTTTTCATTCGGTAGTTCCAATATCATAAATTCGACATCGATTTCATTTTTGGTATTGCTCTGTCGTTTCCCTGTAGCAATCACTGCATGTCGAATGTTTGGAACTACCTCTCATGGAACGCATGGAACTCACCTCAATATGACGTGTACAGAGAGACACGAAAACGTTTATTCTGAGAGTTTTTATTCGCATCGATCCTGAAGGATCAGTTGAGCTTTGGGGCACATTTGTGTCTACATCACACGAACAGATCCGACCGAGATGCGGATACACCACTTTTTATATGCACCAACGTAATCATGTATAGCAACGAACAGCAAATGTCCGAGATACTTTCGTTCGCTGGTGTCACATTTATGCTTCTGTTACGTTCTCACTACTCTACTTCTGTTTGGAATTGAAGCTGTATGAGATCAAACACACGCACATACAAACTTATTAAAATGTAGCCTTAACGACTAGTCTATCATGTTTTTGACTGTCGAATAGAAATGCACTGGATACGCGAGAGACAAGACTAGGTTAGGCGTATCGTCAAGTCTTCCAAAAATCTCGCTGGAGTAGCCGAGAACCCGTTGTTTTCTACGCCGATCCGCTTTCTCCGAAGCTTTTTGTTCTTAATAAAGAACTTAGTACATTTGACAGTGTTGCAACAGACGGAAACTGGCCATTCCGCGAGATATCGATTCCTTTTTACTCAAATACTAAAATCGATTTTCTAGTATAGAACAATTGTATACCCGTGAATTGAAACACGATAACAGTAGAACGCTAATCTGCACCCCGCCAGGGTACGATAGCCATAGCAATATTATTTCGTTGGTGTTTTCTCTAAATTACAGCATCCGGGATCAAAATATCGCCACCGCGATCTTTTTCTGCATAATATCAACGATATATACGATGATGCGATATCTATTGAACACCAGTATGAGTACAAGCATTCATTAGCCGAAACTGAGTCAGAGGCAGAATCGGCCAACAAAATAGTATCCAATTGAAGCAATAATCGTATTTATGCGCAGTAACAAGAACAACCCGACATTGTCCCCCTCTTAGAGAAGCCAACCGAAGTCAATTAGTCAGTCTAATTGTCGAGACAGGCCAGCATACCAAAACTCCAATCCAATCGAGTGCCAAGCCCGCACAGATTTAAGCCAGTAATGGGTTCACTTGATTTCTTTGCTTGTTGCTGTTGTTTTAAAAGAACGAGAGGCACACACTGGCGCAGTCGTTTTTTGCTCCTGCTATGCACATAACGGCCTTATTTACGGTTGTTTAGCTAGAGATGGCCCCAGAGGTTCTTTGCTGCATTTACTTCTTTCCCGCTACACTCACTCTTTCGGGCATATTCCTTATGCTGCTGCCGCCGCTTTTGGAGTGACGATCGTCGTAGTCGTCTTCTGGCCGCCGCTACTGCTTGCCCACTCAGTTTTAGTTGTAGTAGACAGGAGTCGGTAATCGGGAGTATCAGCAGCAACCCCCAGTGGCACTTCACAGCCAAGCTTAGTGCTCCAACAGCACCTCAGTGACGAAGCGCGGCGCTGTGTAGTGGGAGCACCACCAGCGGCAGCGATAAATGGGAGAGAAGCACAGAAGGACGTCGTTTGGAAAGGCACCGGGCCGACACTAGCGATAACCAAGCACGTAAATAGACGAATGGGTGAGAGAAATTCCGACGTTGGTGTCACACGCAGCGCCTATCTAGCTAGTTGGCGAGCGTGTGCTATCCTTCATGGCATACCTACAATTATGTACCAACACAGCAGCCATCACCCCACGGCCCCTAAGGTAAACGGCCGCAAAACGCTCAACGGCTCTCTGGCGACAGAGCTGAGCATAAACCAGCAGCTCCTACCCGTTCTTCGTCTTGCCTTCTGTCCGTCGATTCGGCGGTACTAGTAGCCCCCAGTCAAAACAGCGCCCGTTATCGTTGCGGTCGTCGTTGTCAGATCCTGGAAGCGAGGGAGGACCAAGGAAAGAGAGGTAATATTAGACTTGTTTGCGGGGGGAGGGGGGAACACACAGACTCATGGCGCAGGCGGCCCGATTGATGGTTGATGGTGCAACGGAAACTACAATTCGGTCAATTCCAAAGGGTAACATAGTGGCGCTGCGATCTGCGAAGCGTGGGAACAGACGAAAAGGAAAGGGTGCCTTGCGGCCCATACGCGGACCTGAGATGAAAGGGAAGTAGAGCAAAACAGTGAGACATAATAGAAAAGCGCAAAGACGCTCGTGACAGAAATCCAGCAAAAGTGCCAGATCAAAGCTAGAAATGGGTGATAGTTTCAGGTACTTTTTTAAGAATAGGGTCATAACTACTGTCTACTGTTTGACAAGCGCATATAGTTGTGGCGTCTATCGCGGGATATGAAATGAGTTGAAATATAGAGGTAGAACGAATTATCTAAGCAAGAACAAATTGTAATCTAACAACGCAGGCGCGTTGACTAATCCAAGCGGAGAAAGGATGAAAGTACGTACTAATCACCATGAAAAACATGAATTTGATGTTTCGCAAATTATTGTCGCCGCTAGCAGCTTTGTAGTAAAAGAGTAATAAAACCAAAGCAAAGTTTTCAAAAATTGCCGCGCAAAATTATCATTTGCTGTGCCATTAGACAATAATCATTGTCACTAGCTACTCTCCCCCATTAGGGCAGAAACAAAGTAAGCGAGCCAGATGAGCGAAACAAGGTAGACTAACAACTAAGTGATGTTTACCTTTCCATTAACGTTAGTCCTATGTATAGTTGCATCGCAATAGTGACAGAATCTGTGCAAATGTCGTGAAGTTCGCAAGGATAAGGATTCAAAGATACGCTGTGCACTATACAACCCTTGTTGCTTTATTGGTCAGCATAGTTTATCTACCATTCAAAATAAATCAAATCTGGTGCAAGTTTTAAAGCGTTCGCATCAAATAATGACCTTTGTGATGTTAAGTGTATAGTTAGATGCGTACTTCTGGTTATAGTGATACACCTTGCAAAAAAATAATTGTGAAGGATAACGCAGTGAGGTTTACTGATATATGGCTACAAATCGTATGATAGCAACACGTAGATGCTTATTAGAACTGCCCAGATGTTATAGCCTTGGTGACATGGCTGCTGTAAGAACGTATGAACTTATCGAGACCGAAAGAAGAACCGTCTTTCTAATAAGCATAAATATTCTATATATTCCTTCAGTAAAGGGATTTTTTTAATACAAATAGTTGTATGATTGTTAATCGGTGAATATTTTGAAGTAAGAGTTGACTTAGCTTTGTACAGTTTCAAGGAATGGCTCATTCTATTTACATTAGCTATGTACATAGTCTCTGTGTGTTGGTATTAGTAAAATTGCTTGCTGATTAATTTTGAAAGATAACATAAACAACCGCCTTGCACTCTCGAATTTATTGTGCCCCTAAACAGTGTTTGTTTCGTTTTATGCGATCAACTTATTTCACTTAACTTATTTTTCAATACCTTGTTGACACCCTAACATGACTCGCAGTTCGTTTTTATAATACATTAAGTCGCTTGTCCTTATCTCAATTATACATAGAAGCGCGCCAATCTACAAAAGTGTACGGAAATATATATATATATACATATATAGTATCAAAGGTTACTGCTGTCAGCTCATATATTGAGAAAGTAAGCTGTTACAGACTGACACCGCAAGAATTGGCCTTTAAAAGGCCTTTTTTTATACCTACATGTGCGATGAATGTGGGTTTTCAGACGCGACCTGTACAGATCTTTGTGCAGAGATACTTAGAGATCAAGTAGAGGCATCGCCATAGCGACGGATCTAATCATACCTTGCTTCTTTGTACTTTCACTTGAACCAAATGTGAGTGTCATTTATTTACGCAATCACGATACCATGCTACCACTTGTTTTAGGTTTTTATTTCAAGCCTCTATAGCAAAGGTGGTATAAATTATGTGCCTGTTATTTGTTGCTGTTATTTGATAATAATTCTCTTTATTCGCAAGATAGAATGACATAACAGGTCTTATGTTTTTGTTTCTTCCAGATGCATAAAGTAACAAAACTCAATTCGGCGTCTGTGGCGCGTCTGCTACAGGCACATAGTTCCACCATGACTGGAGTGACTGCAGGACGGGTACGATCACTGAGTTCTGGGGCTTCAGTAGAGCATCCGGCACCCCCCCCGCGAGCTCCTCAGGGTAACGAAGTTTCATTGTTTGGCCCAAAAGATCAACGTTTGCCTCTTCCAGGTAAGCACCAGGGCTTTTGTTGTTATTCAGCTTCTAACACCACCTTAGTTTACCAGTTATATGGGAACTCTATACATTTACATTTTGAATATTGTGTGATATTTATAGATGTCTGTAGGATTCTAACTGTAATATGTCATTATACAGCAGCCAGTGTATCATTTTTTTCATTTCTCATTAAAAGGGGCATATTCTGCAAAGTTCAACCATACCGGCAACGTATGTGTATTCCTATTAAGAACAATACCAAGCCTAATATGGATTTGTTTGTTTCGTATCTGTTTGTCGTGTTTTTTGCCATAATATCGAACAAATTCAGGCGATGTAGGTATTCCGCCGTCAGAGTTACGTCCTGAGTTTACATATCGAACGCCACTAGAAAGAAACAGTAGACATCTAACAGAATTGGACATTTATGGTGTAGAACTTTCTGAGGACCGCCAAAGAAAGATTTACTCACGACTTGTAAATGAAACACCACATGTAAGTAGTTTTTTAAATTATATTTGTAGTAGTTTGTTGTTTGTGTGTGTGTGTGTGTGTGTGTGTCTTGCATACTACGCTTCTCTATTGAATGTCGAAAAACCTTGTTACACAATGGATGCAGACATCAACCAAACGACTTTGAGTCTGTTGGTTTTGTTCTCACCCGCGATATGCACTAAAATCACTTATCCGAAGAAGTATCGTCATTCTGCAGGGATATCTACAATTTAAACAGTGAAAAAATATTGCACACTATCTTGTCCGATGTCATGTCGGATCCTGTCTTGACGATGAATAACTTCGAAAGCACATTTAAGAGAAATTTATATAGTCAGAAAAATGACATAAGGTATTATTCAATTTCCATAATTTTTCACTAACAACGTACCGTTCTTCAGTTCCCAGAGAAGGAAAGGGGATTTATAGTTAAGTGTCTCCACGCAGTGGATCGTTTCTGTTAAATGCACAGGGGAAAAAGGGTAACCACGGTATTGCATCGAAATTCTAGAAAGCCGGCTTGGTTGCCTGGATGTCTATTATTGTCATGAGCCTGGCGGTATGATTAGCGAAACAAAAGAAACTTGCGAACTAACAAACAATAACGATTAGCTTTCTAACAAGTATAGGTCAAACTTAAATACTTAATGTGGTAATATTTTCCTTAAGTTTTAGTCTAATAGACGTACGGTCCTGCGTTTTTCATCCAAGTATCTTATTTGACCGTATGCGAATGCAGTAAAGGTTGGTAGACCCGAATTTGCTATATGTCAACATCTTTATACAGTTGATATTCATGCAAACTTCATCGGCAAAACTTCTGGTAAAGTTTGATATTCGCAACTTTCTCGTTCAGAATAGGAATCAGTTTTACAGTTACACCCTATTCGCAAAGATAGATGCAGTGACACATTTAAAGTGCCGGTCGACGGGTGGTATTATGATTCAAGGGAGTCAGTCATCGTATAGTTTATGAATTCTGCCTGTCAGGGAAGTCGAGGTAAACTGGTGATCAAGAGCTGTAATAGGCCACTATTCGTGAAAGAACGTAACTACTAATTTATAACTAAAGCTCTGTCATTCAATCTCAGTTAACGTTCCTTCTAATGACAATCATGTGCGGCGGGGCGACATCTTTAATTTCAGTGTTCCTTTTAATAGGTAAGTTTTGTGTAATACTGCGAACTTTTATCTCATGCTTGCCATTTTGCATATTTCAGTCTACTTGTGTACAATTAAACTGTAACCACATACATATCCGATTTTATTGACGTGATTCGTGTGATGGTTGCAAAGATTATCGTTTTTTTAAAGTGATGTCTGAAATCACAACTAAGTCATTCATCCCATTCCATTCTGGTAAACATACCCTTTTCTTACGTTGAATTTCCTAGGTTAAGGTGAGCAGGACACTCATACTTTCAAGTAAATATGTGTTTAATTCTCGACCACCTTATTACTGGCTAAGCATGTCAAACCTGTTCCGTATAAAATAATAACAGCAGTTTTCTCTAGTGAAGCGTACCGGGAGGGACCTTTTTATCCTAAGCGCGAATCGCCACTACAAAGCCATTGCCGAGATCATTAGAGACCTGTATTAAAGTTTCTTTTAGGCAAATTTCGTGAAGATTTGTTTAGAAAACACAGTACACAGTTATATAGAAAATATTTTTGGGGGTATGACGACGATTCGTTTGTTTATGATTCTTGATGATTAATTTAAACGTGGTATGAGCTTACTGTTGGTTTTCTACCAACTGTATTACGTTATTTTTCAAATTTTATTTTATCGCAGACAGTGAGTTGCACCGCCGCAGAGGTTTTCCCTAATTTTTTAGAAGATCTAAAGGAAGTTAATCATGCGCGATTTTCGACTTCAGAAGCATGTTTAGGAAATATCTAGGTTGACCTTCTTCAATTCTAATACATATCTAAAAGCCTAAAATCTTTGTCCGGTGTGCACCTTTAAGATACGTGTAGTCCATCTAAATATTTCACATTTGCTGTTATCACTTTTAATTTCGAATTTATTATAACCTAAAGTAGATTTTATTATAGTTTGTGGTGTTGCTTTGGTCAGCTTTCGAGTCCCCTTGTCAGTTAATCGTTTCCCTTAATTGTCAAGTCATCATATTTGTTTTTTAAATTAGTACACTGCAAAGAACGCCTTCATGATTTTCAGTCTCTGATTTTTTTGTGTTACAGGGACCGGATCTTTCTGAGACCGAAGGTATTTCACAGTTGGGGCCAGGGCTTAATTGGGAAGCGCGAGAATGTCCTCTACTGATGAAGAAAGACTTTCAGGAGCTCTTTCCCCAATATGACATCATTACAATGCCCTTAACTGTGATTACGGTAACACAGCGCACCGAGTACGACAATACTCTGTGGAGTGAAGAGGGGGATTGCGAAAGGCAACGCATTACGGAAAATTTCGTTATTATGGCCCGCAAGGTTGTGCGACAGCTGACAGCTGCCGGCTACTGGGCGGATTTCATCGACCCGTCATCAGGAAGGCCATATCTAAGCCCGAGATATCTCAGTGTTGCGGCGCTGTACGAAACCGACGAAAGGTATGCAAGTAGTACATTTACATTACATACAGGAAGAACGAATAGCTGAGCCAACGTCTCATTTACATGTTTAAATTACAGAGAATGGTTAAATTGCGACATAAGCGCCAGTTTGATGGCCGGCACGTTTAAACCGCAGCAGGTGTTGTGGTATCCCTAGTATATATTTTACATGTTATAGTGGTCACACGAGTTAACTATGTATTGAAAGATTTAAACTCTGTTTTAGCCAGTCGTGTTTTTACGAGACGTCCGAATGTTTCTTCAATCAGGTACCGTCATTTGGGCTTCACTATTGACGATGTTGGATATTGCAAAGTGATTACACATCACGCATGGGGTCACAACGCGTTTGTCGGATGTGTGTTTACCAACGCGCCCGTCGACTGCGCCGAAATGCAAAGAACCCTTGTCAACAACGGAAAATAAGGATGGGGCAAAAAGTTGATAGTAACAAGGAATCAGTTATTTTGTACAGGTAGTGAAAAAAAAGTCCAGCTAGCCTAAAATACACTGATTATTAGTGCTGCATGAAAACGCATCACCTCATACTCGAGCGAGAACGGTACACCAAACTATATCGGGGCAGCATCAGTCATACGCAGAGGGTTTAATTAAAACCCGGCTACAGTGTGGGATTCAAACTAAAGCCATCGAATGCCGCAGTAAGAGAAAGTTGTTGTTCGTGAGTTTAGTGGTCTTTTTTGATTCGTAGATAGAAAGCAAATGGTGATAATAAATGAATAATAATTGTAATAACATAACAGCGATAAATGAGAGATGGAGAAGTAATCGCTTTTAGGATGAAAGGCTTTGTTAAGGGAGGGCAATCCAGTTCTAATCTTATAAAGTTAGGTTATGTCATTGTCACATGAGTTGTTAAGTTGGGGAGAGAAGAAAATGCATCTTATGTTAAATAAAACGGTAGAGTTCGTTAAAAATACATAAACAGAAGTGTTCTTAAGTCTGAAACAGGTGTACAGGCACGTTAGTTAGGCATAGACGTGGTCCTTGCAATTAGTTTGGTATTGTCCTGGCGTGAGGATAAGAGGTCAAGAGAGTGAACTTAAGAGGTCAAGAGAGTGAACTGTAAAAAATTTATTTTCCAATTTGTACCCAAAGTCAAGTATTTAGGTTATCTAAATGTGCATACAGATACCAAAATTATATCTTGGGTAGTAATTTAAAAAAGAAAAGAGCAGAGTAGGCATCGCGTTAATAGGAAAAATCATAAATTGCACGATATTTGAGGCATGATTAACCGACACTTTCTAATTACCAACTCCCGAATTCAATTAACCAATCCTTAAACAGATATTATTGTTTTTAGAGGATTAACCGTAGATTTTTAATAGTATTAAATTCGATGGCGATGCGAAGATGTTTAAATATGTGAACCCGTAAAAAATTGCAAACGGCCAAGTTTCCGGTAGTAATAGATGTAGTGTTAAAAGCTGTGTGTTAACTAAAAAAGTACTTAAAATGTTTCTGTTTCTAATCTATTTATATTTTATGCTTATTAAAATCATTATTTGGCTTTTTACTTGAGAGACTTGCCCGACTTTAAGCTGTATGGGTTTTAAGAATAGAAGTGTTCGCCTTTCGATAAGTAAATTTTTTCCGCTTACGAACAAGGCGTTTCAAAATACATAATCTCCAGGTTTTGAGGTTCATGTTGGGTAAGGGATTTAACAGATAGAAATTTATGTCCGGTATAAAAATGTAAAAGATCTTGACAGTGAACGGTAAATTGTAACTCTATATTTTTTAGCGAAAGCTGGATCCGGATAGTTACATTACAGTGGAGGGCGCCTTATTTATACTTTTTTGTATAGGTGGGCCCGTACGCATTCAGAGCATTTTTAAACTCTTTTTGATTTCATCATGAAAATGGGTATGTTGAAAATCAAAAGGCGTATCTATATTGAGCGCTGTTCATTTATGTTGGCTTTTCTTACATATTAGGCAGTTTAGATCACCAGATCTGGCTGTTCAGTTAAAAAAAACTTAACTTATCTAAGTAAAACAATAATCTATCTAAAGCATAGTGCCAACGAACTTTTAGAGCACCATAAAACGTGTTCTAGAGGACGAAAATTTTGAAACATGAAGGCTTCGTAATGTAAAAAGTTTTTGTTCAAAATTTAACTACGCGGTTTAATACTGTTGGCGTATGCCCGTTTAATCAGTTAATTTACGCCTTAGCTGTTCTAGAGTAGAAGTTTTACCAAATATACAACAGATGTGGTGGAAACCGTTAAAACTGGTATATTTATTGATTTTTTTCTATGTATTGACTTGATTTACAAAAAATTTAAATTAAGTGTTTTACGCAAGTCTGATCTGAGACGAAGTATAATCTTGATACGAATAAAATAGTGTCATATGAAACTGTTTTCAATGATAGCCACTGTACAAAAAATATGTGAACGGATCTACTGAAGCACCGGCAGCAGAAATATAGAGTAGTCTTAACTCTGTACTGTTTCTAATATAAATTACAAAAATGCCCTTCCTAAAATAAACATCCCAATACAGTAAATACGTGATTTTAACCCATGTATTTTATTAATATTAGAAGTGAATATATTATGAAGCTGTTGTAGGGAATTCCGGTGTACTTTAAAACTGAATAACTTTTGAGCCATGTAGTGCTGTAGAATAGACGCTTGATTACCAAGTGTTGATTTTCAGAACTAAAAGAGTTTCTTTCTAAACTCATTCCTCCTTGGGAAATCTTAACCGATTTTCATTTACAGGTTTCTGGAGAACTGGAATGTTCACCGGTAAAATTTTGTTCACCGGAGGCTCCTAGTTCAGAAGTTATATAATTTCAAAGTAGCCTAATACATAGAAAAAGGCGTATTTATATCGGCGTACGCAGATTTTAACAGCTCGATTTACTCTGAAAAGAAAGTGTTTGTAATCATTTTTAAAAATTTCCCACAGCCAGCGCACTAGCCTGAAGCATAACTTGTACGATCTGAAATTCTACCTTACTAGGTTTTAGGCATCGTGTCACTCCTTCGTTAATGTGACAGCAACGTAAAAAAAGAAACAGACCAAATTGAGTTGTTGGAAATGTTTGCAAGAACTTTTCAGAATGGATTTTCAGAACGTTCAGAATTGTGAGACTCGATTAATTTCTTAAAAATAAAGCCGAACTGCTTAACACGACCAGGAACGCTAATTAGTAGTGGGGCATTGTTCCCACTAACTATATGGTCGAGGTAGTTTTAAATTGACTACTTTAGTTGTTAGACTGAAGATTCGTTTATTAGGTAATACTGCAAAGACAATAAAACCGCGGTTGGACTCGTCAGCTTTCGCTAGTTTTTCCGAAATGGTGTATTGTCATTGATGGTGTCCATTTGGCCGATAATATGAATCGTTTTCACTTTTGTCAGTCTGCCTGGCATCGACCAAAGAACAACTCTATTCACGTAGGTTTATCAAATGTTGGATGATTGCCACTAGCGTCGCTGAGCTGTAGACCAAAGGACGATCAAAATTTTGTGGAAAAGGCTACCCTCGGCGTTTGGCTTTCCTGAAAAGTATGCACTGCTTCAACAGTTCAGTATGTCTACAGGGAATTATCAAAATGCTCATCTGAACGAGATACTCGATGAACATGTAAACGTAAAAACGCGTGCTTTTATGGTTTGCTCACAATGTCGAACAGATGTTACCATGTAGTATTAACTTATGAGGTTTGTTAGTCTAAAACGTGACAAACATCAATTTCATACTACAAAGTGATGCTATTTTGTAACGGTGGGGTTTCGCAACTCGGGTACACATGAGATGTGTACCCTTCGAAAGCTGAGACTACAGACTCGGATATAGTTAAGCTTTTAGCGGGCGAGTTGCAATATGCCATGAAGAATCAGAAAATTTGAATGGTCTACGGATATGAGTTTTGTTTCAAAGCTACAGTAGTGACAACAGCTCGCTTTATAAACCTTAAATTCGATACAGGTTCCGCTCCTAGAAAGATTTGAGGCGTTGATTCGAAAAACTACAGAAAAACATTTGAGCTGTAAATAATTAATCTCATGGAAGACTCCCTGTAAGGGTGCTGCATGATTTGAACAAGAATAAAAAAAAAGCGTAGAAACGCTTACGTTTTTTCCGTTGTCACATTACGGCACTGACTTAATCTTGCACTGTCTTGCAATATGTGATAAATTCTCTATAATAATCACAAAGGGTCACATCAGTAAGAAAATGCACAGTGGACTTTGCTTATTTCCACCATGCTGGTCCAGAATTGTCCGTGGCCGGTCCACCGTGGCCATATTGTACGTTAGCTTTCCTTTTATTTTCAGCCATAGCCGGGATTGGCTATCAAGCTCTTCATCGAACTTCCTGTAGTTGTTTCCTTAGTTTTCACCATTTTCTAAACATCCTGCCAGATGTCGAAGGTGGCTTTCTGGCTCTATTCGGGTTCTCAACATTGTTCGGGGGTAACAACCTCTTATCCCCCAAAAGAGTCTCACGGAACCATTTTGGCTAAGACCAGGAGCCGTTTGATAAAAACCCGCCAGTACGTTCAGCTGATTCTAATCGTCAGCATCTTTTACTCATTGATCTTTTACTCGCCGATTGTAATGCCACGTGCCTTCAAATGGCTAATGTGTGTATTGCTATCCGTTCCGCAAAAAAAGGTAGGAGCCTGCATTCAATAGAACTTGAGGAATTCTCGATACTTACATGTTTATAATAAATAATAACACAATACGTATTCGGTCTGCTTGGCGATAAACAATTGTATATCTTTTCCCTTTATTTATCTCTCCTTATTTTCTAAGGTCAGTTTGACGCTGCTCGTCTTTTTTATTATTATTCACCATGACCATAAACCCTAGCATTGTTGTCATAATACCTCTATTGTTTTTCCTCTAATTAGACTATTACAGTATAACTTTAACTCGCAAAAATGTAGGTGCAATTATAGGTATCAATAATATCATTTCTATATTTGAGAGATTATATTGTTTAACGTTTGTTCTTCATTTTTTTTTGCATCAAATTACAACAAATAACGTCGACGAGTTCCGCTTTGTGTTTTTGCACTATTCCTTGCACTATATATATGTATATATATATATATAATGGAATACTAATAGTCATATTGTATGTTGGTGTACGCACTTTTCTCCTGTTCGTAGGCGTATCAGTTATTAACTGTCTTATGTGTCTGTGTGTATTTCTGTGCGTAAATCTAACAGGGTTTAATATTAATAAGATGCCACTGTATCAATGCAAACGTTTGATGCTTTGACTCATTATATCGTAATCTACCAAACACCTCTTTGCATTCCGCATATCCTGTTGACAATGTAAACACGTGCGTGTATACGTACGGCATCGTACGTATGTTATGCTTTTTTAGAAGTATTTTTGTTGTATCTGCTATTGTTGCTCAACTGAAATAGCTATCGTTAGTGAGACGACTTGCTGTTGTTATTGTTATTTTTGGCCTTGCTTTGTCTTTGTCGGGGGGTAGCCGTCTTCTTCCAGGCCCAATAATTACTCATCTCGATTTGGTCGCTATCATCCTGGACTCACTGAGTGGGCAACTGAGATCCGCCTTCCCTCGTCGGGAACCGCCAAGGCGTCTTCGGTGAGCGAATTTCTTCTTCGAATTAATGCTTTTTTCGGGGCTTAGTACATGCGTGTAGCACATTAGCTGATTACTAAAATCTCGAACTATCGTCTTGGCTCCGCTCCCTTTCGTCCCTTCTTGCATTGTCGATAACGTCAACGAGGTCAACATTGTTGCTGCTGGTAGCTTTGCTTAGTGTATTTATTTCGGTTTCATGGTTTTCACTTTTGCAACTTTTATCGTGGCAATGGTTGCCTCAACCGCTATTAGATTATTATGGCTCTACTTTCTGCCTCTGCTTGTTAAATGTGGGATGTACTTCTTTTTATTTTTTTGTTACTTTTATTCGTCGGTATTCGTACAATAAGTATAGCAGTATTTTCTGCCTGGTTTATTTGTCCGTGACAGCGTGTCGTCGCCTGCCCACGCTGGATTGTGCTTTATCAGAATGACAAACCATTATTGATGTCATTTATGTGTCTACGTGTTCTGTTCCTATTTGTTCCAGTTTATGATGATAGAGAACTTCAGATCGAGCAATTGAGTGTGCTTCTATGCGAGTGACAAGACGCGTATTTATCGAACATACGGCAATGAAATATATGAGCGGTTGAAGTGAATTGGTGAAAGGGGAATATTCCGGGATACCTGAAGAGTTTTAATTACTATGTAACGCGAACTTAGTATCTTATTTCTGTACTTTACAACGTGAGTCATATCAGCGGACAAGGGACGCGAAATGGGCAAATAAAGTCGCTAAGTATACAGAAGAAACATACTCGTTCTACGCTTTTCAATGATGTAGTGATTGCGGGTTTTGTCAGTGGTTGAGTTCGTTAATACTACTGTCACTGTTGGCGCTGCTAGCGTTTTGTAGCACCATTCACGATAGCAGGATCGTCTGCCGCTATCGTAACCATTAGTGTTGTGATGCTCTTTTTGTATTTGTTGTTTCAGCTTAGTCTGGCGGTTTCTGAGGACCGGGATTGTTTGACATTGGGTTGAGTTCTCCTGCATGTGTTTGTTTATATTTTCCATGTTTGACTACTATTTGTCGTTGAATTTTTACAACAACATTCCAAGCAGTAGTCCAGCGTAATCCAGCAAGTACGGATGTCTCAGCCAACATTTTGGATCAATTTTCGTAATGCGCTTACCTGTAAGTTCTTCAAAGTGGGCCCAGTAGGGAGTGTGAGCAGGAAACCGGCAAACAATAACAAAACGAATGAAACAAACCATCCTGGTTGACGCATTGGTCGTGTTCAGCGTAAAGGGCGACTTGCTTGCAGTCAGCATCACCATCAGCCTGACTTCGCCCGACCCCTGCACTTCGAATGTTGAGAGTCCAACGAGATCAGGCTAGATCCACCGCCGCATTTTCCCACGAGCGTTTGCGGTGATGGGCTTGTTGCGCAGGTTAACTCTATGGAACCACTTATAATTAGATCTTCATGTCCCTGTCTCTTTCTACTACTTTTTTTAAATTCATCAGTTCTGATATTGTCCACGACGACAACAAAATATGTAAGTGACATGTGATGAAAGAAACAAACACTGATAATTAATGTTTACAAAAAGCCGTGTCGTAACTGCCTAGACATTATAGACGACAACGCTAATACTTATTAGGAGCAAGCAACGATTACGTGAACTGCGTTGAAACTAATTTGGTAAATTTCACACAAAAATTGGCCGCTGAGGTCAACATTTATCTGTTATATTGAGTGACTGATAAATTAAGGATTTTTGGAAACGACAAACAGCTCTTGTCTACCATATTAGAGAGAGAGAGAGAGAGAGAGAGAGAAAGAGAGGGGAGAGAAAGAGAAGGGAGAATTATATTTCAAATACATCGAATGCTACTACAGGACTACTACAAATTATTTACAACATATAGAGAACTGTTGATTCTCTTTTTTTTTCTGTTCTGCGCCGCCATCTTAAACCGCGTGGGTCCGGGTTCGCCGGGGTGATTTCTGCTGCAATCAACACTATATTTGTAACCAACTTGTGACCTACTCTAACATTTTTTCTTAAACTCCTTTACTGCACATGTACATACATACATATATATATGTATCTTGCTTCACCGCTGAGGGTGACGCTTCAATTACTCGCGGGTCTTATGAGTAACTGAAGCAATCTTTCCCGATTTGAATATATTTTATACTACAGAAAACTCATTGTACCTCTTATTCGAAGATCTAAAATGCCCAGGTGGCTTATGCAAACCTTTGATTTTTTCTTTATTCTGAACTAGATAAACGGGAAATAGAATACCTGCCGCAATGGAGAAGATCTGCAGATTATGTAACTTCTGATGGATATGCTACACTAAGTTTTTGCTACTATGTTTTCCTACAAGAAGTTATTCGTCGAGAATTTGTTGAATCTTCGCCGTTCTCCTTTATCTTCTCCAATGCACCGCCACTTACGGTTGTACCATTGTGTTATCATTGCCGCATAAAGGATGGATTCAGCCCTCTTCGGTGCACATTAGCTCTCAGTTCCTACCGGAACTACTGTTTAGCCTCTATGAGATTTTTCGTTGATGTAGTTGCAACGATTTTTTCCGCATCTTTCCATTTGGTTTCCGATTGTCTCTTGTTAGACGTTCGTTGTCTGTTTCTTACTTCCCAATCCGGGGCGTGAATGTACGCAGCGTTCGTGGCTGGAACGACAGCAGGAAGAAAACAAACAGGCGTTAACTACTAAGCAGAGACGGTAGCTAAATAGGTGATCTTAGAAACATGTGTCAAGATGAACGACTGCCGTAATGAAGCTAGCTAAGCAATGATACCAGTAAGGGAAAAATGCATAAATATTAGATGACTGTTATCTGCAGTCTATTTCTTAATTATAATTACTATGTTAATTAAGTTAAAACTTTATACAATGTAACCTGCTTTTATAAAGGTACGGTAACTTTTACAGTATTACAAAATAATTTTGTTTGTTTACTCCAGTTCATTCGTTTGAAATGAAGAGATGTGTTTGTTGAGCGTAAGTAGTACATAAAGCATATATTCTTTATCTCTTTTTAATATGAATTCGAGTTAATTATCAGTTAGTTATTAGTTAAATTTACATTGCTATTAAACCTAGATATTTGGCACCAATGACGATATCTACTGTAAATATACCAAAACCGCAATATATCACGTACCTAATGCACACCGAGTTTGGGTAGAAGAAATTAAAGATATCAGGAAGAAAATGCGTGATAATGACGGTTTCCTTTTCAGCTAATTAGATATTCTGTAAAAATGATAGTAAATTGTGGAAATTCTATTTTCTGGTTTGATCAAGGTGTTCCACATTTGGAATTTTCAATGTCAGCAGTAATGGAAAGTAGAGATAAACGAAACTAGTTAATTTCTAGGTACCAATAAATTCACTCACTCTATATCCATTAAAGTATCCATTTAAATTAAAACTTATTCTAAGAGCACAATTACTTAAAGTTCTGAAAGCTAAGCAAGCGGCTGTGGTCCAATTATGAGTAAAACGTTTAAAAATAACAGCTAAGTTCTACAATTTAAAATCGATTTTCCGAAGCTAATTCTTTGCATGAAGGGTAAGGTCAACCGAACCCTACTGCTAATACCACTGCATTCTAATCTATTTCTATTTTGAAGTTGTTGTTTTTAATATGGCGTTCGTCGAATGATTGGTTGAAGGCTTAGTGACGTCTGAGGTATACCCATAGTTCACAGTAGCAAGACTAGACAAAGCAAGCTAAGTATTAATATATCGACTTGCATTATGCGTTCTATTGTTAGCTAGTTGTTTTACTAATGCGATTGGTCAAGAAAAACGGCATCGATACCTAAATAATCTACGAAACTTAACTATGGCACACATATCGCTTTCAATTTACCTGGCCCGTGCTAGGGTCAGCACGACCGATTCTTGGGGTGAACGCCGCACGACCAATACGTGGGGTGAAAGCCGACGGACCTCTCTTCACCATAAACTCTTCGTTTGTGTCTTCGTCAAAAGCTCCGATAGCTGCTCCAAGTCCGCCGAGAGTGTTCACGCCCTCCAAGCTCTTTTTGCCAAGTCTGCAAAGAATATGATACACAGAACTGACAAAAGTAAATCGACAGTTTTGCGCGTAATCAGCATCGAGTCCACGACTCCTTGAATAGTTGTTTAGTAAAGTATTCATTATCAGCGCCTGTTTCACTATTGTTCTGCATGCTCTATGATTATGGGCTTGCGGAAGTGCAGCCTTCACTGACTCAGGCATATTGATATACAGTATATAGATAAATTTATGTTTTCTATTTTACACGACGCTGTCGTTTGAAAGAATGCGATCTCTAAGTGTATTAAATTTTATCCCTAGGCCAAAACTGAACATTCTCCTTAGTTTCTAATGATGCTAAAGAGGTCTTTATATATCAGTATCAAATCATATTCAAGACTAGAATTACGTAGAGATACTCCGGGCCCTTGCAGGACTCTTCCGAAATAACACTTAGAGCCTATAGCTTTGTTCATATTCTTAATACATGTATACATTTGAAGGAGTACGCGACAATGCAACAAAATTGCGAAATTAGTAAAAAACGTTATGACATACGGTTAAGTTCTCCGATACGTGACTTACGTTCGTTTGCATCTTGCGGGTTGTGCGCATACTTTAGGCTACAACAAGGTCATGACAGACAGCGCTTCGTTCGAAAGTCGCTGCTTAACAAAAAAGGGACATTTCTACAACGCCCATTACGTCATCTAAAAATCAGTCAGCCTCAGGAAAGGCCCAAAAGAGTATTACTTAGTAATCATTACCAGTTACTCAAAAGTGTCAACGCATATAATTTTTCTACTACAATCCGGCAAGATCTCCCATTCATGTGACTTATTTTGAAGCGGTTGCTGTTGGAACAAGTGCAGCAAAAACTTACTCGTACGATAGTATTGGTCATAATAGCGTTCAGGATGAAAAGAGCCTTCAGATCTCGAGCAAAACGCTGGTGCTTTAACGTATCGCACGTCTTTCCGAGTCCTTCTTGTTATCGAGCTACGCATTTTCACTGCACTTGTTTACTTCAAATCTATTTTGCAGGTTTTACAAAGGTTTCGCAAACACGCAAGACGCCAATTCCAGTGTGATCACGATCATCATTGTCCCATGTCTTCTCCGTTGAGTGAAGGGCTTCGTCCAGGAGTGAGAGCAGTGCAGTGGGAATATAGCCGTCATTTTTAGATGTAAATATGGCTCAAATTCAAGATGAAATGTACTCAAATAGGGTATAGCAGTCCCTTAGATATCAGATCTAGCTAGCTCCTAACAACAACTTTGCCTGCTTCTGGGAAATGGGACAGAACATCACAGATATAATGGAATATGATGGGCAAAACGCATATAATCTTAGGCTCCTAAAATATTCATTTTATAGTGGAAGTCTTTTTTTTTACACATAAATAAAGCTTTGTAGCTTGGGCTATAGACGAGCGTAGGGATTTGAGTGACATACAGGATATGAACGGCAAGCGAAGCTCAGCAAATCAGTTATTTGCTACGACCGCTTATATTTTTCTTGTTCAGGTAATCAACAAATTACAGGCCGATTTAACTGCTACAACTCTTACTGCCCAGGTTCCGTAGAGTGCAAGCGCTGTGATACCAACGATGATAGGCGCGAAACTGCCTTCGTGGAATATCGGTGTTCGGCATAACAAGATGCTTCTAAGCTACCCCAAAAGCTGTTGTATAATATAGAGACCATAAGAGTAGTTTTTATGGGGAGAGACCCTGTTTCTATGATATGAAGAATCAATTGTATAAGGTAAATAATTAAAGGACTAAGGTGAGCTTTCATGACTGTAGTGACCCAAAAAATACCAACCTGCGGTTGTTGAGGTTGTGCATCGTATAGCTTAAACCTGAAGATTTAGTTTAAGCAGAACTACGGAACAGCGAGAAAAGATATTCTACGAAACATGCAAGGAACTCATTAACACTGAGGGGCAGTCAACATCGAGACACTCAAGTGCTGTGACCTCTATGTGAAGTATCTAGTATTTGCCATTTTTTCATTTAATTATATGCTAGTAAGACATGACTTTCATCTACAGCCAAATACACAAAAGGAGCAATTAGATAACGTGTGGCACGCTTCACAAACATTCGGTCAAATATGTGCCTATATAGAATGCTTTTGCGTCTAATGTGATACAGCGTTTTCTCTCCGTAAAAGAAGAACTCATTATGCGAATTGACCACCAAATGGCAAGTTATTTATGACCTTCCCTTCACTAGTGTTGGACGAAGCGCGCGCAAAGGTGTTGAATATAATGGGGCTCTGATATCCATCCCGTTCCGTCAAGTTTCTACAAGGACACTAATTTAGGTCTCGCGTAATCCAGAAGATAAGCAGCAGCTAGGGATCGTTTTCAAAAGGGGCCTAGAGAAAACTTGTATCCAGGAACGCCGAAAAGAATTTCGCTTGGTGGGTTTTAGGTTTACGTTCCAAAAAAAAGTGGGTATATGCTTAAAATTTAAGGTCACATTTTGTGTTCTATAGTCCCAAAACTGTGTGCCGGCAAAGGTCATATTGAACATTCAATAATTTTTTTATGCACCAATGCTTCTAAAACACAGTGCACGGTGCAGACCACAGCGTTTAACAAAATGGAATAAAAAAAACAATCTGGACAGGATAACTTGGGGTGTTTGACTAAAGATTTTCTAAACGGAGGATAGCGAGAATCAATGTTACGATTGCCCTCTACAGGCTTTCAAGTGTCATTTGCGACAGGTATCACAATAGGAATGAAAAAAGAATTATAGAGAAAAATGGTAAACAAAATACTGTTTTTTAATTGAGTAATTCCACTAATTACTTTTCTCTGCGAATAGCTCATAGCAAAATCTATTGAACAAATGATACATTTTCTGAAGGTATAATAATTTTCGGTATTTAATAACAATAAAATTTATTCTTCAATTCAATGTTAATGCACAATGATCACATTATGCAAAAAAATAGTGTCCATAAAAAAAAAGCAAGCTCTCCTTCTCTAAGAGTGTTTAAATAAAGTTTTGAGTTTAACGGTTGGTATTACCGTTGAGCATCGCTTCAGATGGCTGGTCCCCAGCGAAAACAGAGTACATATAAATGCTGTTTTGAAAATAGACCACCTTATACCTCTTTGCATTTAATAGAAATACGTTGTTACTGAACCATCACGGGGACCTCAAATTGGTGCTTGCCCTTTTTGTACTGGTGTTCTGTCCAGTGAAAACTTATAGCTAGGGATTTAAATTCTTGTAACGCTATAATCGCCAAAATTATCCAGCAGAGGCAATTCAGAAGCATTTTTCGAAAATTTTAAATTTTATGGTAAATCGGAAACAAGATTTTTGATAACACATTTTTCCAAGCTCAATAGTAAATACAGAGGTATTTCAAAACTATTATTTAATACTATACATGTAGGGTAGTATACAATAAGAAAAGAAGAGTTAAGACTAGCTTGCTTAACCAGTGAAGCTAGTATTTTTGTAGCAGATTCTTCTTTATCTTGTACTAGTCGTTTTATCAATCAATCAATGATACAATCACATTTTCGCGTAAACTGCATCATAGACGCATATGCCTTATATATGTGACTGACCATAAACGTTTCCTACCTGTAATCATTTGTGGTTTTGTCTGCTCGTAAATTACGAACGGTTGGGCAAGATCGGCACATGTCATAAGACAAAAAGCACTCAATGTAATGTAAATCATAGAATGGGTAACCTGGCTAGGCATTCAACGAGTAGCGCAAAGGTAAATTCTTAAAATGAGAAGGAATTCATCGTGACCAGATGAAGACAGGCTATCAGGAAGGCACCGATGTTCGAAAATGGGTTCTGTACACGTTTCAGCCGGTCGTTATTATTGGGCTGCGTAGTTATATAGTTGAAAATGCATGACCTACAACGATCACGCCTCAGCATGCTCCTGTCTGTCGGCGGGTTTGTCTGAGTAGCAGGGTCTTTTTACTACATGAGCCCACTGACAACCGTCCCTTGGCAACTACTTCGTGCATGGCGGCGACATTCACACGGGGGGAAGCATGCAGTGCGTCGTGCGAAACGCGATGACCGCTGTCAGTGACGTTCTATTTGGCATCCGTTCCGCCTGTTCCACCCCACAAGATCGCAAAGAGCGGAAAGACTAGACGTTGACGGTGAAAGCCGTATGAGTATCGGTAGTATCATTCACTTGTAGCGGGCCTCAGCCGCGGAGGCGAACGGTGTCTAATAAAAAAAGAGCAGTGTAGCTGAGTGGTGGTGCAGTTCTGTCAGCCAGCCAGCCAGCCAGCCATTTACAGCGAGCCTTGTCCGCAATCAAATGAAAATGGAGTTTTCATTTCCCTTAAATAGCATACTAAAGGAATACGGCTGGATTCGGAGTTTTGATTTGGTCTCTATTGGCAAATGGGACGTTTGGATAGTCTGGACAATATATGCCATAGAGGAGATGCGTTCATGAGTAGTAAGGTTATTGGACCTTGAAATATAAAAATTACAGGAGAACGTCAAGCGTTACATAACTACATAATCTTAAATCGAAAGTACATGCATTGTGTAGTATTTCCTCGACTAGCTTCAGAATTCTCTCTAGTCTTATTTTCCAAATCTGAGAAAACGTATTATGATACCAATTCAGACTGTAAAGTATAAAATCGGCGAACCTTATCCGCTGGTGAACCATGTCCGTACCGATGTTACAGTGTTTTCTGCCTTTAGTTACAAGGGCACGTATTGTCTTTAAATAGACCGTTTTATTGTGGCTAGCAAAGCGCTTAGAGGACATCCCTAATGGCATCTTCCCAAGAAACCTGATGATTCTACACCAAAACATATATCTTTGTATAGATGCGCGTATAACGGGGGCTTATACATTTTAGTATTCTTAGTGTCGTTTTTCGTCACATAGTTCATCTTTCGCGGCTAAAGATCATTATGATATTTATAAACGAAGTAGCCGACCAAAGTGGAATCGAATCGAAGATCTGGGCGAGGGCCCAGTTTCAATTTCCATCCGCTACGACTAGTTCG